GGACGACCCCAAAGAACAACAGCTATGTTGGTAGAGCCTACATTGGTAATTAGGAAATATTGTTTGTTGAAAATAAATCTTATTTGTGTATTGTATGATTAATATCACGTCTAAAATTAGACTTAGGTTTTAATTTTACTTTTAGGTGAAGATTAGGAGTTTAGCTTACCGTTTACAGTTTTTAAATGTTCGTTTTAAAATTGTCAATATAAAGATCAATAAGTCGGCATTTTTTTTTCGGGGGAAGGGTGGTGGTGGTAAAGAGATGTTTCTCACATTATTTCTTCTAGAATATACCCGAGGAGCAACGCGCAAAACTGTTCAATTGTCACGACGGTGTAAAGAATAAAAAAATCAGATTTTGTACTACTTTTTTTCTTGTTCTCTCCTCCCCCCTCCACCCTTATCTATCTTTATAACTGGCTACAGAAATAGGGAAGATAGATGAAATAGAGTTCACCTGATTTTTTTTGTTTCCCCCGGCATGTGAAGGGATAGTGTGATCAGTTTTATGCACAGCCGACTTTAATTTCAATAACATGAGTTAGGTACCCATTAGAGCTGGGTGGACTCAGAAACGTCATATAAACTCTAATCCGGGATTTGAACTCGAGACTTCCCGGTTAGTAATCATGTGCTCTGCCGTAATATCAATAAAAAACAGCTCTTGATGCCTCAACCATATACTCACACCAGCCATCCACCATATACAATCCCCATTCGACGCTCAACCTCATTCCCCAATATATTCCCCATTCATCTTCCATCCTCCCTAAACATATCCTCCATCTTACACTCACTGCCCATCACAGATTCACTCTTTACCTCTGTGCTGAAACCCACTTCCCAACTCATACTCACTCCATATCCCACTCCCTAATCCAGCTCTCCATCCCACACTTATCCCTTATCCCATATCCGACTCCCTAATCCAGCTCTCCATCCCCCACTTATCCCATATCCCACTCCCTAATTCAACTCTCCATCCCACACTTCTCCCTTATCCCATATCCCACGCCCTAATCCAACTCTCCATCCCACACTTATCCCATATCCCACTCCCTAATCCAACTCTCCATCCCACACTTCTCCCTTATCCCACTCCCTAATCCAACTCTCAATCTCACACTTATCCCTTATCCCATATCCCACTCCATAATCCAACTCTCCATCCCACACTTATCCCTTATCCCATATCCCACTTCCTAATCCAACTCTCTATCCCACACTTATCCCATATCCCATTCCCCAAACCCATTCTCAATCCCACACACTCCATTCCCACTCCCCATCCCATAATTACCCCATTTCCCACATCCCACCCCTTTCTAAAATCAATAACACCATCCTTTCGTAACTACCCGATAAGCTGCTTCTCTCTCAACACCATTAACACCTGAGAACTCACCTTTGAAGATGCCGACCAAGCCATATCATTAACGTCACCTGATATTAACCTGCCCCAAATTAGTAATTAATCTTATGAGCCTTTTACATCATTTTGTTAACAACGTGTAATAATTATGGAACAGCCGAGTTACGTTTCACAATAACAATAACACAAATCGTAAATGTTAAAACTGCTTTGATAATATATTTTTTTTAGCGAACGAGATCACGTGATTTTGTTTACTGGCTCTGATATATAAAAAAAAGTTAAAAGTTTAAATATATTGTTGTCGTTTTTTTTCTGAATAAAACGAACAATGGATCTTAGAGTTTTTGTAAATACCCACTTGTTATAGTTGACGTTCATGATAAATATCACAATTATAAAAATTCAAAGTTTTCTTTTTAGACAATACCTATATACATTATCTATAGGCCTCTAGGTTTTCAAAGTTAGATTTTGGAAGTTGATTTTTTTTTAAGGTTAGATTTGGTAGTTGTTGAAGCCTCACCGTCTCCCCTCGAAAAGATGCCTGAAAGAAACTGGGAAGAAGTAGGTTGGCTAGCTGCTACACAGAACGAACGACAAAACCACATCATGACAAGAAATCAAAAAAATAAAAATAGATTAAAAAACAAGAGAATAAACACATTTGTAAAAAGACAAAAATAAAAATATTTAAATATTTACAAAACTAACATTATGATGGAGATGGTATGGTAGGGTATGAGATTGAAACAACAAAAGTCCAGAGTTTTAAGCCCCCGGGCAGATGAGGCTCGTTATTTGGGGACAGCAACCCATCAAGGTGAGACAACTCTAAAATCAAACAACTTCAGTATTTTAGATTATTCTTATCAAGTTGACAAAGGCTAAGGAAGCAAATCCAGAACGAAAAGCATCAAGCGGTCATATTTAGCGGGCAATATGCCGAATAAAATGTTGAATTCAGTTGCAGAAAATCTCCTGCAATTTTATAAAATTAAGAACCAAGAAGAAAAGAAAAACATTAAGATAATAGCCTTGTTTTATGGTCTCTTTACTTCCGCGGACCTAGAACAACAAGATCATTAAAGTCAAAATAAACAGCCACATAAAATCGACGAAAAAGTTGACCTCTAGTTATTACCGCCACGATTGCATTTAATCTATTAAAATATTTTACTGGCCTAGTCACGCTGACACAGTAGGGTATATGAAGACGTACTAGAACAAAAACAAATTGCGATTCTAACTTGAAAATCTTTCAATGATGGACCCTCGAGTTTTTGTAAGTACATACTGGCCAAATTTTTAATATATTATTATTATCTAATATCAATAAGTTTTTTTTGTACGAATCAGTCATAGCCTACTTCTAGCTGTTTAGAAAATATATAACATTTAGAGAAAGGATGTGCGCAGCAAAAATCACCAATATCCTGAATTTTTTTGTCATAATGAGTTTCTTTCACTTTTGGATACTTATTTTTTTTTGTATTAAGAAGATAATAATTTTAAAGAGAACATTTTAGTCTGTTTGAAATACTATATCTATTTTTAAAAAAAGCATCAGTTTTTTACCCAATCTTACGCGCTGTCTACGAAAAGTTTAATATCCGTCATCATATTGTATTTGGCATCATAGGAAAGTTGGATTTCTCATGTAGGCCTATTTGATAAATGTATTTTCCGTCATCTCAGAAAACCCAAACTTTACAATTGACTTTACAAATTATAAAGAAACGAGCCGACCCGCGGTGTATTATACGCCGCTATTTAGTTGTTTTTTTTTCTACTTTTCAGTAATTCATAATTTGTGAATTCGACAGTACCAATGCTGCCACTGAAAATATTTGCTTTAAAACACTACCCCCCCCCCCCCCCCGTGAAAGCAGACTCCTCTTAGTTACCTCCCCTAAGTTTAAAATTATCTGCCCCTAATAGCCGTCACCAAACCCGGCTCTACGATTGTAAAATGTAAACATTTAGCGTGAACCACAGCTCATCAGACCATGTGAGGGGGTGGGGGTGGTAGCGATAGAGAGGAAGAGAGGGGACTCCAAGGAGCGCTTGCAGCTTGTTTTCTAACGTCTCCCAGAAGAGAATTATATATATAGATTGTATTTTTGTGAAATACTGTTCGTTACTTTTTGTTGTTTTGCTCATTTCGCAGTTTTGTAACTATAAAAAGCCTACTAATTTTTAAAAATTAGCAATACAATTTTCACCATCTTTTTCAGGATTTATTCTCCATGTAATCATAAACTTTTTTTCACGAGGGAATTGTGATGGCTTTCATAGAAAAAAGTTTATGGGAAAAAAAAATATGCACATTTTAAAACTTTCACGTACTAAAAAGAGCGCAATTTTTTCATGTTAAAATTCTGACCAGTAGCTCTATAAAAGGTTGTCGTGACCAAAGTTCAAATATATACTGAAATATAAGCAGTGTAAATTTGAAACATTGCTCCCAGAAGAGCACAAAAATAACATCAACAGTTGCGGTCACATAAGGGCCGCAACCAAATAAGCTTTAAATTATCCCCCCTGACTAGTAACCCATGGTATGTGTTACACAGCCCCGCTCACAAATGTAAAATGTGTGTACATAAACATTTACATTTACAACCTATAATTGAACTTTTACATCTACGCTACAATAGTACCCGACATTAAAGTCTTAAAGACTATGAAATATTTTCTCAATGAACAATGGTTGAGGCTCCAGTACTGGCACTGCTCACCACTTGATGCGCCAGTCTTGGCACTGCTCACCACTTGATGCGCCAGTCTTGGCACTGCTCACCACTTGATGCGCCAGTCTTGGCACTGCTCACCACTTGATGCGCCAGTCTTGGCACTGCTCACCACTTGATGCGCCAGTGTTGGCACTGGTCACCACTTGATACGCCAGTCTTGGCACTGCTCACCACTTGATGCGCCAGTCTTGGCACTGCTCACCACTTGATGCGCCAGTCTTGGCACTGCTCACCACTTGATGCGCCAGTGTTGGCACTGCTCACCACTTGATGCGCCAGTGTTGGCACTGGTCACCACTTGATGCGCCAGTGTTGGCACTGCTCACCACTTGATGCGCCAGTCTTGGCACTGCTCACCACTTGATGCGCCAGTGTTGGCACTGGTCACCACTTGATGCGCCAGTCTTGGCACTGCTCACCACTTGATGCGCCAGTCTTGGCACTGCTCACCACTTGATGCGCCAGTGTTGGCACTGGTCACCACTTGATGCGCCAGTGTTGACACTGGTCACCACTTGATGCGCCAGTCTTGGCACTGCTCACCACTTGATGCGCCAGTGTTGGCACTGGTCACCACTTGATGCGCCAGTCTTGGCACTGCTCACCACTTGATGCGCCAGTCTTGGCACTGCTCACCACTTGATGCGCCAGTCTTGGCACTGCTCACCACTTGATGCGCCAGTCTTGGCACTGCTCACCACTTGATGCGCCAGTCTTGGCACTGCTCACCACTTGATGCGCCAGTGTTGGCACTGGTCACCACTTGATGCGCCAGTGTTGGCACTGGTCACCACTTGATGCGCCAGTGTTGGCACTGGTCACCACTTGATGCGCCAGTCTTGTGCACTGCTCACCACTTGATGCGCCAGTCTTGGCACTGCTCACCACTTGGAGTCGGATTGAGACCATCTTGATGTTCAGTTCATCACCTTACCCCTCTGTTTCACTGGTTCATGACATATCCTTCCGCCGTAACCCTCCGCCACCGTGGGTTCAGAGTTAGAAAGGGTATAGTCGGTTCTCTGCCCAACACGGCGGCGTCCACCACGTCGTTGGCCTCTCCTCCGGCCGCCTATCCTCCGGCGGCTTCTCCTATCTCTGCAGATGTCCTGTCTATCTCCCAAACGACGATCCTGCTCGTGCTGAGACTAACGTCCACTGTGCAGCTGTTCTACCAGCCTCACGCGCACCCTCCGGCTGGAACCCTCCTCCACGGCGGAACACCCGACAGCCGTACCTCCAGCCGCAAGGCGAGGTAACCTGAGCTGTGGTTGCTCGACACTGTGATGATCTCGGTGGTGTAAACTTGGGCTGGGAGCTTGGCAGAACACACATCAGCATCCTCTCCACGACGCTGATGGACTGGCGTTTCACTGCTGCTGACCCAGTTACCTACCAGCTTTCCTCAGACAGTCGGGAACGAAGTTTTCCCTGGATCCCTGAAGTGCTTGCTTCAGATCTTAAATAAAAAAAATATTTAAATAACTACCCTTGTCCCCTTATGTATCTTCAACTTTTCCTGTTTCTTCCCAAGACACATGGGACCACTAGAGATTGCTCCCTTCACTTTTGTCGTTCACCGGCAATTTTCTTATGTATACTTAACATAAATAGTGTGTATACTGTGTATGTTGTGTATAGAGTATATTTGTCTCCATCAGATCGTGCTTGCTGTGTGCGCTTGCGCTACTACCCTGTCTCTAAGCTGTGTTGATTACTTGTGTCCCCGCATTAGAAGACCCTGTAGTGTCCTGACTGATATCTCTACTAATGGCGCCAGCCAGTACGCTTCATACTTCCCTCGAAGGTTAGTACGGAAGTTTAATTTTACCGTATCTTTGATTGCTGAGTGAGTAACATGCACAGATAAATACAGTAATACGTACAGAAACACACACAGGAAAAAGCACAGATACACACAGTAACATAAACAGATACACACATAATTATGTACAGATAAACACAGTGCTATGCACAGATAGAAAGTAATATACACAGATACACACAGCAACTTAGACAGATACACACAGCAACATACACAGATACACACAGCAACATGCACAAAGACCAAGAGAACACAGCGAGATAGACTAGAATGTCTTACAGGCATCTATCTTTGAGGCCCTCGGAATATGTCCACCGACCCCTGGAAGAAATAGAAAAAAAAATGTATAATGAATTAAGAAATCCTCCTTTGTAGAAAAATGCCTGAAAGACCCATGCAGAGACTGAGTTATACATAAGTTGTGTTTGTTTAATTTGTCAACTTTGTTTTTGAAATATATCTGTTGTCGTTTAACTTCTATGTACACTTAACTCTATAGTTATCTTTACTGACTACTAGTATTTGTATGTACACTTTATATAGTTAACTTTGGTGATTTAACACATTTTATATAGCAGAATATGTATTGGGAGTTTGATATTTTGTTCCATTTTTCTCTATTTCTTAGTTAATTAACTTGTTTACAGTTCCGTTCCGAAATTTGAAAACGCAATATCGACAAATACTGTTATTTCAAAGCCAAGGGTCAGATCTGTTTACATGCAGTGTTTCTTTCAGGCAAATTTTCGGAAAGGGGGCGTACTAAAAAGTATTCTACTTCGTTCGGATGGGGGTGGGGTGGGGGGGGGGGAGTGGCGCTAGTCGTTTTTCGGGGAGCTCCCCCACCCCCTCCCAAGAGATACCTGGAAGAAACTCTGTTTACATGTCTTCAGAAATGTGTGGGTGTCTTTCGTTTGGGTAGATTTAATTGTTTAAATGTTGTAAGGCTTGTTCACTAATGAACTGTGTTTTCTCTATCTGCTAGCCCTTTCGTGTGTAACAGCACACAATGGACACGTTTTGAGTAAGTATTTTTTAATGAATTATCATATTATTCTGTTTGTGTCCAAGACACATGGGGCAGATATAGTAGAGTTCATGTGTTTCTTGGCTTAGGCTTATGAATAGATAATGGGATCAGCACTATGCCCACCCGCCTTAACTTTCCTCAACGTAAGTCAGGTAGCCATCAGATAGGACTCGGGGACATACTACAGTCACAAGTCCGAACCGAGATCCGAACTTGGGGTTAGTATCCAAACGCTCTACCACTCAACCACGATGTTCCATGTTTGTGTTTCTTTTTAAAGAAAAATAGTTAAGGAATATAATAAAATATGATTAATAATACATTTTTTTGTTGATAAATAATACTGATTTTTATTGGTCACGTTTTAATTTGTGAAGAATTTTAGCTAAGATAATATGTTTGTGCGTTTGTGTGTGTGTGATTGCGTGCGTAGTTGTGTATGCATTTGTGCGTGTGTGTGTGTGTGAATGTGTGTGTTAGTGCGTGCGTGCGTATTTGTGTATGCGTTTGTGCGTGTTTGTGTGCGTGTGTGTGTTAGTTCGTGCGTGCGCGCGCGTGTGTGTGTTTGTGTGCGTATTTGTGTATGCATTTGTGCGTGTGTGTGTGTGAATGTGTGTGTTAGTGCGTGTGTGCGTATTTGTGTATGCGTTTGCGCGTGTGTGTGTGCGCGCGTGTGTGTGTTAGTGCGTGCGTGCGTGCGTGTGTGTGTGTGCGTGCGTATTTGTGTGTGTGTTAGTGTGTGTGTGCGTGCGTATTTGTGTATGCGTTTGTGCATGTGTGTGTGTGTGCGCGCGTGTGTGTGCGTGCGTGCGTGCGTGTGTGTGTGTGTGTTTGTATGTATGTATGTGTGTGTGCGTAGATGAAATAATTATGTTCCTAAATAAGTAAAATATGTGTGAGTGGATGGAAAAAATAATGAATACTCCTGTTGAACATGTGTTTTTCTACCTGACTATAAAGCTGCACATCTTTAAAAAAATATATATAACTCCAACAGCGGATGTTGCCCAAGGTCAAGATACTACGACTGTGGTCAGGAGACGGTACCCTGCCTGCCCTTATTCTGGTACAATCGTCTCGTCTGCCAAGTTAGCAGACAGCAGATCTCACTGGCCTACACTAAATGCACGTATGTGACAGCAGAGTTTTTTTTACTGCTGATATTTCAGACGGTTGAATTTCTAAAAATTAAGAAAAAAAATAAAATAAAAATTCAGCAATTTTGATTTACTATTTTAAAATTTAAAAATCCATTAATTTTTTCAATTTATTTAAACTGAAAACTCGTCTACTTTTCTAAAAAAATATTTAACGAATCAAAATACTGGTTTGATAATAAATCAATTAATTATCTCCTTTTTAAATATTGATTCATCCATCTTCTTTGAATTAATATTTATGTATCGATAAATATACAAACTCAGAGGCGTAGCGACCCTTCCCGACGCCTGGGGACAAACTTTCGATTTGCACCCCCCCCCCCTTCAAACTTTCGATTTGCACCCCCCCCCCCTCAAACTCTCAATTTCTTTTTCCAACCCATTTTGGAGCCCCCCTAAGGCCCATATGTCCCCCCCCCCCGCCCCGCCCCCTCGCTACGCCTCTGTACAAACTGATCTATTTTTTTTAAATCCATAATTTTTACATATTTATATTACTTTACTTTTTATTCTAACCACCGTGCCCCATCTAGATGTGGGACCTGTGTACCGAAGTGCCTCGACAACGGATGGTGCAACACCAACACGGGCAGGTGCACACAGGCGTGCGGCGTCAACACGACCGTGACCCTCGACTGCCTGGAAGTCGGGGCGCCGAGGAAGGCGTTGCTCTCAATTCTGACCTATTTTTGTCTCCCTTCCAGGTGGGGGGAGAAATACTATTTATTTTTTTAATGTGGGGGTGGGGGTGAGGGGTGGGGAGGGCGGTAGAAGTAGACTTTCGAATCTTACAGTCCATTTGGCAGGTGAATTAGAGTACATCTGTTCCAATTAGTGTGGTAAATCCAATATTTCATGGGGGAGGGGGGGGGGAGAGGAAAATAAAGTGTGTGTGGGGGGTGTATACTGAGTTACACTTTGGGCAGATGAAGTAGAGTTCATCTGTTACACTCAGTGTGGAAAATTCTATATTTCTTTGGGGTTGGGTGAGGGAGGGGGGTGTAAATAAAGTTACACTGTTGAACCTTTCGAATCCTACAGTCCATGGGGCAGATGAATTAGAGTTCATCTGTTTCAATTAACGTGGTCATCACAATGCCCAGCCGCCTTTACTAGCCCTAACTTGAGTTAGGCACCCATCAGAGTTGGGTGGGCTCAGGGTCGTTCTACGGACTCGTCCTAGTGACGTCACTAGGTCGGGTGTCACTGAGGGTGTCACTGAAGGTGTCACTGAAGGTGTCACTGAGGGTGTCACTGAGGGTGTCACTGAGGGTGTCACTGAGGGTGTCACTGAGGGTGTCACTGAGGGTGTCACTGAGGGTGTCACTGAGGGTGTCACTGAGGGTGTCACTGAGGGTGTCACTCCCACCACCGCTGCCCCAACAATTTAGCACATCTTCGGTTTTGCGTTCTCCTCTTCACCTACTTTTTGAAAACTTAACTGAATAAAACAGTAAAGTTTACGACTTTTCATCGAGGTGTCACTCCCTTAATAGTGTCACTCCCTTAATGGTGTCACCTCCTAAATGGTGTCACACCCTAAATGGTGTCACACCCTAAATGGTGTCAGACCTTAAATGGTGTCACACCCTAAATGGTGTCACCCCCAAAATGGTGTCACCCCTAAATAGTGTCACCCCCTAAAGGTGTCGCCACCTAAATGGTGTCACACCCTTAATGGTGTCACCTGATTAATTTTGTTTAGTGATTGATCTAGAGGATCGATGCCTTTGTGATTGATTAATGTGTTAGTTTCGTTGCTCGTAATCCCATACTGTTTAATCAGCCTTATAAAAAAAGGTACCATCCCCCCCCCCTCAGATGTTTCTGTACGGTGTAGCACAACCTTGACCAAGATCAAGCCATGACGTCATCACAGTCTATCTGGCATGACCCTTTCACTTGTTTTTTGGAATAAAAATTTCAATTTCTTTTTGTTTCAAATTTTTCTTTCTATTGTTCTATTTATTAACCTACCATTGATCACACTGTGGTCATGACAATAACTTACGACACAGAATGATATGTATTCTTCCCCCCTCATACCAGAGCGATGGGCAGAATGGGAATAGCCCTTGCCCTAACGCCCTCGGAAATAGTGCCCCCAACGTAACCCACACCCCTTTAGAAATATCCCCATGGATTTAGCTCCCCCCAGCATAACCCTCCCCCCTGGAAATATCCCCCTCCCCGATATAATCCCAGTGGAAGTAATCCCCTTAATTCACGATTTAAAAAAATCAAATATTAAAAATACGTTATACTAATAATTAACTTTTCAATGCACTGAAAAGAAAATAACCCCCCCCCCCCTGCATACGCCACTGGTTGGTGTATCAGTGTTGTTAATGTCCTTCGACCGAGCACGATAGGTGGGGACAGCAACCCACCAAGGTGAGAAAACTCCTAAACAAAATAACTGCTGCCTTGTAGTTTGTTCGTGGTTGGACAAAGGCTGTAAAAGCAAATACAATAATAATCATTAAAAAAGTTTTAAAAAACCCACGTTTTCTGATTGAACTAAAAAGTAGAAAATAAATGCTATACATCACAATAATGCAAGCGATCACTCTACTATAAGCGATGAAAAACGTGGGGCGCCGAAGTAAAAGTTATATTACTATTGATTAGATAATACTATTGACTTTTATTAGGGAGCTTGTAGAGAGTCAACAGTATTAGAAACTGTAAGAAAATCACGGCGCCCCACGTTTTTCATCGCTTATAGTATAGCATTTATTTTCTACTTTTTAGTTCAATCAGAAAACGTGGGTTTTTAAAAACTTTTTAAATGATTATTATTTTCTACTTTTTAGTCTTTGTCTGTTTGTTTGCATTGAAATCTTGCTATCGATTTTATCTTTTCACTTTTTTTTTTTGGGTAAACGAAGACAACTCGTAAAAAGACAACTCGTAAAAAACACGTTGTGTGAATACGTTACTGACTAGAACACATAGATTTGAACCCGTGTCGAGTGGGTTAGCAATCGTGTGCCCAACCACTCGACCATATCGTCTCCCCCATACTGGCCATCAGTTGTTACGTTCTGGTTGTTTGTAGACAAACACCGCGTGACAACTACTCAGTAAGCAAAAAGAGGGAGAGTACCGAACCTTGTTTTCATCAAATTACAGTTACTGGGTTATGTCCCTTTTTCCCCACGTTTTTTGTACAATTATATAGGGGTATAAAATTATCAATAAAATGTTTCCATGGATTAATTTAGTAATAATAACAGTTGAATATTCTATTGTCATCCGAAACAAAGCTTCCCTGAAAATTTCAGCGCGCTAGCTAACTGGGAAGTGCCCGAAATTTCGATCGCAAGATTTGATTGGAAAAACAAACAAACAGAGGCGAAAGCAAGTTAAAGAAAACGTGGGAAAAAAAGAAAAGCAGGCTGAAATCGGAGTCAACGATCCATATGGCGCATAACATGTTGATCCGTAATGCTTTATTATATTGGAGGAAATCTCTCCCAACATTGAAATTAAGAACGAAGACGAGGAAGAAGAATGTTCTTCGAAAAAGAAAATCACTCAAATTTGATAACACACAAAATACCTAATCTACTCATATAATTATAAACAAACCTTTAAAATAAAGCGGGAGTGACCTCCCCTAAACGTTCTCGAATATTCTTAGAAAACATTAATGTTGATGGCACTCCAGTGCAGTCGGGATATAGACGAGGAAAATCAATTTTCAATTACTTACATTTTTTTAAATAAAAGAGAATCTTGTAGAAAAAAAAAGAAGTGTGCATCGAATGAACAGCAATTAATCTGTGTATAACAGTGCGGAACATTTGTACTTTATAAAGAAAGAAAGAGGAATCAAGTTAAAAATAAATTCATTTGTGAAATTTCTTCTAACTGAAACAGTAATTAGTTAAAGACTTTAGGAAAACCGAAAGTAGAGTAAGTTAAACTTTTGGTTACCGGAAATCGCTGAAAACTTGATACTGAACTTTAAATTTAAGATAATATTTATTAATATATATGACATTTTGTCAACCCAGCTGTTACGTGACTCAAGTCATCGTGTTCACAGACACACAGACACAAACAAACGCATACAGACAAACATTGCAAAATCAAGTTTTTCCGACTCAGGGGGGTGTAAAAACGTCGAATTGTGTGAAAATCTCGGTTTCTATTTTTTGCACAATACTTCCTCCATACAACGTATACGAGAAAGTACAAAAAATGACATAAAAATAACATTGATTTTAAGACCGGGTCTGACCACGTTAGAATGAAATGTCAATAGCTGATCAAGTCCCACGTGATCGAAGGTTGATCTCTCGCGTCAGCATCTTCAATCAACAAGTCGGGCAGGTCTAGAGGTCCACAGTTTTACTCACACAATGTTACTTACCCGTGATCAGCCCCCTTCCCCCCCCCCCCCATCATTTTATTTAAATTATTATCTATATGAATAATATATGTAGGTTTTTAAAAAAATGTACAAGGTATTTGATATAAAACTACAAAAAATAATCCAGCAATGTTTCAAAACGTTTGACTACTTCAATATTTAAAAAAAAACTGTTAATTAGTTAATATTAGGGGTCATCCATAAATGACGTCACGCTCGTAGGGGGGAGGGGGGGGTCCGTAATTTTGTGACGATGTGTGATGAGGGGGAGGGGGGGGGGGGTCAGATGTTGCGACGTCACATTTTTGCATTATAAAAAAGCAATGTTAGAAAACGAATTTTAGACGTTATTTCGCGTTTTAGATAACTGTTTTAATAAATTGTAATAGTTTAGACAAGATTTTGGAAAAATATCAATGTTTAAAAAAAATTCAACTGCAATTTTGAGGGGGGTTGTAGGTTGAGGTGTGACGTCATTTTAGGGGGGGGGTCTGGCTTTTTGTGACGAAGTGTGACGGAGGGGGGGGGGGGGAGGTAAAAATCGTCAAAAAAAGCGTGACGTCATTTATGAATGACCCCTTATCCAATTTTGGCGATAATTCAATGCCGATGCATTTATAGGCCAGTAGACTAATTTTATTTTCCAGCATTTTAAAAATTGTTCTTTCTTCTTTGAATATAAAAAAAAATTATTTTAAGAGTTTCAAAACCAAGTTTTACCATTGTGTTACCCCATCTAGTTGTAGACCAAGTTGACTATCCAAAACCAAAGTGTTTTTACACAAATCCAACATTTGTCAATGTTTCTCTGATTTAATCTTAATCACGTTATTGTCGTTATTTATCTTTTAGTATGTGGCTACTTACGCTGCTTATATATATATATATATATATATATATATATATATATATATATATATATATATATATATATATATATATATATATATATATCTACGTAGCTCTGCTCTACACTGGCAGGATGTTGCATTTTTATCTGGCTTTACATTTTAAGAAATAGTCGCAACGTGTATTTTTTTTACTATCGCCCTTTATACTCCCCACTTATCCTAGGGCCAGTAGCGTACGCAGGGGGGGGGGGGGAGCAGGGGGAGCGGCCGCTCCCCCTCTGGCCATTTTCAGCAAAGTGGCGCCTTTTTGGAAACTTTTTAAACTCTAAGTTTTAAACAATGATATTTGTTAAAAAAATATTTTTGTTCGGCACATCTATGTAAATCACAAGATTTCTTTTCGTGCAGCAATTAAGCATTATTGTACTAGTCTAGTAGTGTCTACGTTTACAACACGTATTAACAGCTGCATCAGTTTGCCATTCTAAAAATAACCATTACGATGCATTGCAATGTTTAAAAAACCTCTACGGGTAGTACCACTTGGCAAGAGGGGTGTTAAGTTTAAGGCAACTGTATAATGTATTTGCTTACGAATAATTGAATTAGAAAATGTTCTACATAAAATTTCATACATAATTACTTTATATATACAGTTTGAATCGTGTGATTAATTTTTTTAAAAATACAATACAGAAACAAATACAACTGATGTGGCACCTCTATTTAAATTTACTTATGAGCAAACTGCGTAGTGGTGGGGAAATTTTGACAAGGTCAACAACGTCATCACGATGAAGTAGTAGTATTCTTACAGTTTGGGCGATAGTGATTACGATTACAAATTACATGAAACAGTTACAACCCCCCTCCCCCATGGACCCCTATGTAAAAAAAATATTGTCATAATACCACTGCTACTTATTTAAATCTATTTCTGTAATATATATTTGTGTAATATATATTTGTGTAATATATATGTATGTTTAGAACAGTCATCTAAAAACTGACGATATGTTCACTCTGAGTTGGTTATCTCCCCCCCCCCCCACACACACACACAGCTCACCACCACAAGTGTGTAGAGCGACATTATTGTCACACTCTGTGAATATTGTTTTTGCAATTACCAGAAAAAGGTTTGTGATCAATACAGTGATCTAACCCATACCTATCACTATGTTAAAAAATGATCTTTAAAGAACACATAGAAGAAGTAGTTAATTAAAAATACATGATCTGAACTAATAGACCAATATTTAGTTAAATGTAGGCTATTATTCCGAATGTTTTTCTATTTTGTCGAAAAGTGTGGTTATATACCAACTCTGATTTTAAAAACTTTCATTATGCTGTATTACTTTATCAAATTCTGATTATAGACAAAAACATTTTGTAAACACGAATAGTATTAAACAATTTCATTATATTCTAAAGTAATTATTGATTTGTTTTGACATTTATAATTAAATGTGTAGATATATGCATATTTATATTAAGAGAGTGATTATTTCCCCTATTTCACTTGTCTTAAATAATTTCCCAGGAATTATTATGTAAGAAAATTTGTCTACAAGAATTACAAAACAGATTGTGTTACGTTCATTGTTTTTGGTTGTAGTGTGTGTATATATGTACGTATATTTAGATTGATACAATTTTTGTTTTGTCGGTCTACATTGTGTGTTTTTTCTTATTTCTTCAGAGTGCTACTTTCAATTTATTTTACATCATAGCGAAGTAATGACATACAGCTAGTAATTATATATATATATATATATATATATATATATATATATATATATATATATATATATATATGTGTATGTGTACCACGATCAATCCATGGTTACGTCAATCCTTGTGCTCGTCATCAGCACTTGCCACCACAGCTTTGAAGATGTTGAAGAAGCCGAATCATTAACGTCACCTAATATCAACCTAAAAATGTTAACCCCAAAAGTTTAATTACCCTAATGAGTGTTTTCATCATGTTGATTGCAACACATGGCCATAGGACATGTGACTAGCCAACATGTGCTTCACAATACCAAAACTAAAGTCATTAATGTCGAAAATTCTTACATACCTGCGAGATCACGTCATGCTGTTTACCAGCTCAAAGGTATAAAATAATCTAAAATTTGAAATAATTGGTTGTTTTTTTCTGGATGAAAATAAACTATGGATCTTCGAATTTTCGTAAGTAAAAATAATTACTTTATTTGTCTTCTAAAAAAAAACAACTCAAAATCATTTCTCTAACATTTTTAAACATTAAAAGGGATCACCCATTATTTTGGATAAGCGTGTGTTTAGGGGATCATTCATAAATGACGGCTAGTTTATTTGACAATTTTTATTGCTATGTCGTGTGTCGCTATATTATGCACTAGCCGTACCGGCCAGGCACTGCACTGGCATTTGAGATAAACGTATTTGTAAAGTGATATGCACGGAGTTCGGGTTTAAATGATATATTTTAATGAAAGTTCTATTTGTCAAAATTTTGATGGGAGGCCACTGTTAACCATTTGGTAAAAACGACACCAAATATTTTTAGATTAAATTATATTCTAATTTAACATACAACAATGTTAAGAACCAAATTTTATACAAAATATTAAAGACATTAAATAGTTAAGTAAAAAAACCTCACTAAATTATTCATTTTGCTTTTGTTTTTAAGCTAATTAGATCTAATTTTATTTGATCTACTCTTCTCACACTAAAGTAATTTAAATGTTACTAAGTAACCTTAGTTCTAGATTCTAGTTTCTCCGAATCATTATATTTTCGAATATCCTATTGAAAATTGATTACAAGCCGCCTTGTAATTTGAGTGTTGAGACATTGTTTATATAATAATTATATTTAAATGTTTCCCTCTTAGACTAACTAGAACCCCTTAATATATATATATATATATATATATATATATATATATATATATATATATATATATATATATATATATATATATATATATATATATATAAATTGTTTAGGTATTGCTCATCGGCGTAGTGTCTGTGGTCTCAGAATGTGATCCACCACCTTGTAGAGGCAGCAACATCCCTGGATTCTGTACAAATGTTTTTGATGTGGTGACTGCTGGTACTAGTGACTACGAGCATCTTTTTCCTGTCAGGTAAGTGGTTGTGGAGTTACATGTTTCTTTTTATAGTCAGAATTCGGTAAGTTCTTTGAAATAAGCGTTTCGTTTCCATCTTTGTTTTTTTATATTTTTTCTTTATAAAGTTTGTTTTTGGCTAGTCTCTATAAGTTTGTTTTTGGCTAGTCTCTACAAGTTTGTTTTTGGGCTAGTCTCTATTTTTTTTTATTGGCTTTTGGTTTGCGTGTTTAATAAAGTTTTTTTTGGGTTATATGTTTCAAAGAATGAGCTGTGGATAGTGTGTTTTACATTATTTGGGATCTTTACTTTGTTTCATTAAGTAAACTTTCGGGAGGTTATTTACTTTTTTTGAGGTACATTATTTTAGGATAGTAGAGGGTAGGACTGCTAACTCAATATTTCTGAGTTCTGATTCCGGGTTCGAGTCCTTAGGATGTTGCTAAATCCACCCAGCACTGATGGGCACCTGAATTACGTTAGGGAAAATAGAAAACAGATGCACTCTACTTCACCTGCCCCATAACGCCAGACTTGTCTTCAACTCAATATGCCCGATATTGAATTGCACAGCCTTGTCACTCCAGAGATAGATAAGAATCTTCAACACAAACCTTAAGGCAGTGCTGCTTTATGACCGGGAGATCTGGAGAGTTACCAAGTCAAATACCGGCATACTTCAGTCGTTCACAAATACTTTTCTACTACAAATTCTCATAGGCGTAGCAACTCCTCCCAGCGCCAGGGGACAAACTTTCAATTTGGCGCCCCCCCCCCATATGTTTTATATTTGTAATTCAAAATAACAGCTAAAATGAGCTTATTTTGGCGCCTCTATGGTCGGCGACCGGGGACATATATACCCCCCCCCCCGTCTCTACGCCTCTGCAAATTCTTAAGATAAGATGGCCAGACAAAATGACGACCTGGGGACAAACGACAAAACAACATTCAAGAGACATGGATATTAAAACCCCAAGATGGGGACGGAGTGGACACGCCCCGGCAAGAGCATTGGACTGGAATCCCAAGGGGGGGGGAAGCCTAAGCTATCCTGGAGGACAGTGGAAGGAGAAGTAAGGGCTGTTGGGGCTTACGTGGGCTGAACTAAAGAGAAATGCCCAAAACAGTAGAGATTACGTGCAGCACTTTGCTCCTAAAGGGCTAAAAGCATTGTCAGCTAATTCACCTGCCCCAATGACCGAAAGGTTCAAAAGGGCACTGTTTAAAATTTTGCTTCTATAGTATTGGTGAAGACAGATTGGATCTACCTGTCGTGATGGTAAAATTAAGTTATTAATTGAAAGATTTTCAAAATAATTTTAATTCATAAAATAATAAACATTTTTGTTTCTTGGTTCTTGTTAGATTTTTATTTCTAACATTTCTAACCATCTTCTTTTCTAAAACGTTAGAATGTGCGTGTTTTTTTTTATAGACTTGTTGTTATTTTAAAGTAAAAAATTAAATCTATTTTATCCTATTTTTTTTTACAGTCAAACAGGTTGCAATCAAACGGAAATTAGAAAACAGTAAGTATGAATAATGCAGGGTAGATCTGTAAAAATTAGGTGGGGGAAAAAAGTAAGTAAATTTGTAGTGTATACAAGGGGAAGCAGGGGAATTTTTAAAACGAAATCTACGATGATTATACAACTGGGCCCTCCTGTGTGCACTATGGTGCCTAAGTTCGTTTTAAGAAAAGCTATGCACTAAAGACACGATGGGCAGCAACAACACGAAAACTGGCATATGCCCCTGGTTCTCTATTGTTTTTAAATTCGGTACATATTATGACTATTCGATATGTTGGTGCATAATAAATGATGATGGTGATTTTGTAGATTAGATTAAGTACAACGACATTTGGCAAAGGTTCACAGAACCAATTTTCCGTTGCATGCTGCTGTTTACATTTTTTCTTCGATTTCATTGTTCATACATCATTAATTTTATATGCTCAACATTAACGTTTTAATTCAATTACAAATTATAGGCCTTGTTAGTTAACTTTTTAATTAAAACAATCTAAACAATTCAAGGCACGTTTAATCTGAAATTAAGCTAAGGTGACCCTGAACAAGAACATCAAACAGCATTATATGTTTACTTTCCTTTAAAAAGAAACTGCTGCCCGAAGGCGAATAAATACGAGTGCACCTCAGCAAGAAGCGATTGCCTTCCCCTGTTCTGGTACAAAGATAGCATCTGTATGGTCGTTTGCCCAAAGAATATCACCTACACTGTCTGCACGTGAGTAGCAATAAAGGACACACACCTACATGCACACACACACGCATTATATATATATATATATATATATATATATATATATATATATATATATATATATATATATATATATATACTCATAAGTGTATATCTATATATATATCTATATATATATTTATATATATATAGATAGATATATATATATATTTATATATATATATATATACATATATATATATATATATATATATATATATATATATATATATATATATATATATATATATATATATATATATATATATATATATATATAATCTTGATGATGCGACACTTGATTTTCTTTGACTTTTTAAACAGCTGCGATTATTGCATCCCGGACTGTACACTAAACGAATGGTGCACCCTGCAGTCCAGCAGATGCACCCCATCATGTGGACGGCTCTGGAACGTCGAGGTGTATTGCATCCACCCGCGAAGCGATCTCCCGTCTTTTATGACCAGTCTCAACCTTTGTCTCGCTACAGCGTAAGTGGTTTTTTTTAACTTTCAGAAACTACCATAAGAATATCATGTTCCGATTACTGACTTAATCAGATTGGTCAACACTCACCTGAGGCGTAGCGACCCTTCCCGGCGCCCTGGGACAAACTTTCGATATGCACCCCCCTCGAACTTTTTAATTGCACCCCTCCCTCGAACTTTTTATTTGCACCCCCCTCGAACTTTCAATTTGTTTTTCCAACCCATTTTTGCGCCCCCCCCCCCCTCTAAGGTCGACGCCTGGAGACATATGTCCCCCCCCCTCGCTACGCCTCTGAAACTCACTGAGCCGATAACTTCAACAAATTGTTTTGAGCCTGTATTTGTTTATTTATTTAAAATGTACTTTTAAGTTTACAAAAACACGATCACTTATTTTTCAATACAAGGAGCCATTTATCTCTTAATTAGATACATATCGTCTTTTCTTATTCGTATCGCTGACGCACTGGGTATATGAAATAGAGCTCATCTGTTTCAAAAACTTCGATATACAAGAGTTATAGTGGCGTCAGCACTACGCGCATACGCCTTGGTTTCGTTTAAGTGAGTCAGGTACCCATTAGAATTAGGAAAATTTAAATCGTTTCATTTTGATCGGGCTCGTGATATGAATTAATCTAGATGATATCACAAGAGGCGCACGGCGGAGAAGCAGCTGGCAGAGGCAGGATTGTCTTGGGGGACTGCTAGAAAAATTTCCGGAGATCGACAAAAGTTTAGGGAGATTTATGTGGCGACCCCATGTGTCTTGGGCACAAAAAGGAAAAGATGATGAATATTGATACATAGTTAAGCATTACGTGTTAACGTTAAACGCCTCAGGCCCGTTGACTGATTTTAGCCTGGTTTTTTTTTCTGGGTGTGCTATCATAGCTTTTGCTTCAAGGTAGCAGTTGTTCAATTTCCACGCCTCCTTTCCTGGGCGAGTTTTTGCACACAGCGAAACAGCTTTATTCTGCCAGGGATTTGAACTCAGCGCTCCCTCATCCGAAATTTTTGTTTTTAGAATCATCGCTTTATTAATTTTCTCCAGACAATATAATTGATAAAATAATATAATAATTTAATAATTTTTTTTCCCTAAGATGTCATTGTATCCCAAAAACTGATGCCACAGGAGGTGTGTAATAAAGCGCCACCTATCTTCGATTGACGTCTTGCAGTGTGTGTTCTTTACATCAGTTGCTCGAGCTCAATTATTTCCTGGACAAATTAAAACAACGTTTGAACAACTGTTAAACTCTACTAGAAAATTCGAATTGAATTAAACGTGTAAATCATCGAAGAGACTTTTTAAAAATATTTATAACAAATTTACTAATGTAAAAAAAAAAGTAATTTCCAGACACTCGTTTTTAAAGCGGAACTACCAATCACAGTTCTACACTTTATTTTTGACCTGGTTTCATGTGTAACCCAACATGATGGCAATGTAGACTAAGTTTGGGATCAGTCTTTCTTCCAGACCTTTTTTTCCGGAGGGGGGGGGGGGGGGGGGAGAGAGATGGGCACTTGATATTTTCGGGAGGGCGGACAACATTTTCCGAAGGGTCGGACACTGGTAAAAGTATGTTTTTTATATAAATTCCATTTCGTTCGGTGGAGGGGGGGGGGTTGTAGACTTTCTTCCACGAAGAAATGCCTGAAAGAAATTCTGTTGGGGATAATCTGGTTTAGTAGGCTCAATACAACAGCACTCGTATTGTATTGGAACCACTCCGGTTCATGTCCAGATGATGAGGGACCATTCTTAACTAATTATTCACAGAGGGGCACTATTCCAACAATGTCCTCACAATTTTGTTATTGGGTTATAACCCCACCCTTTTTCTCCGCGAAACTCCATTAAAAAAAAACGAAAAGCGTAAGCTACTTTTTGCAATTTTTGTTTAAAAAAACACCATTACCTCACTCATGTCCTACCCCCCCCCCCCCCCCCCCGAATCGTTATTTGGAGAATGACGTTATTTATTGGCGATTTCTTAGTCCGTGTTCTTTAGGTGATATCCGTTCCACATTAAACGTTTCGACTCGTCAATGCTTAGTCGTGTGTAATTCCCACCCCCCCTCCCCCACCCCCACCCCACACTCACGGTAATTCCTGCAGTGACTATGTTTCACCTACTCATCAGAAATTGACTAACTGTACGTTGGTCCTGACAGATTGAAAGTTATTCTTTCGGAGCTGGCGTTCCATGAGCAGGTAAAGTATAGTTCACCTGTTTCTGCTAACACGGCGCACGAAGGGATAGTGTGGTCAGCAGCTATACGGGATAGTTTGGTCAGCCCTATGCCCAGCAGCTACATGTTTACATAGAAAAATGTAAGCAATTTCCCCAAACATATTGCCTGGAAATATACTTTAACATAACCACCCCCCGGATATATCCCCTAACATAATCCACCCCCCAGACATATCCCCTAGCATAATCCCTCCTCCCCTCCGAAAATTTCTATAACATAGTCCCTGGAAATATGCCCTAAAATAAACCCTCTTCGGAATTTCCTCTAGCATAACCCCTCCCCCCCCACACACACAAACAAACGTCAGATATCTCTACGATAACCCCATGGAAATATAGCTTAACATCCCCCCCCCCGGATTATCCCTTAACCCCTGAAAATATCCCTTAACATGATCCCATGAAAATACCCCCTAACATACCCCCCCCCCCGCACACACACCGGAAATATCCTCTAACATAACCCCCTAGAAATATCCTCTAACATAAAACCCCTTTCCTCTCCTTTCCCCGGAAATACCCCCCTAACCCCCCCCCCCCCCTCCCACACACACACCGGAGATATCCTCTAACACAACCCCCCCCCCCCAGAAATAGCCCAAGGCCCCACGGACGTGACCCCCTTAATTGATAGACTCTTGATGACTACATACAGCGTTATGTCACTTGACCACAGTCCAAGTATCTGGACCACGGCTAACATGGGCTGTCTTAGACAGGATTTGAAGAAAAAATTTATTAAAAACACGTTTAATTAATAATTAACTTTTTAATGCACTGAACAGAAAATATTTCTTTCTTTAGTAAAAGCACCGAAAAATGTCACTACACCAGGTGAAACGAATTTTTTGCGGTTAGATTGGCATATAGATTGGTGTATAGTTTATAATGCCTCAAAGGCAAGAAATACATCTTACAAAATCTAAGATGACTGCTTACCATAGTGTAATAGTGTAACAATTTGACGGCTAAAACAATGTTACACATCGCAATAAAGGAATAAAAATTTGCTTTAGAAGTGTATAAGTGTTAAACCATTTTAGAGGCAACTTTGTTTTAAATCGAACACGTTATAAAAGTATTAGCAATTATTAGATACTTTAATGGTTAAAAAATAAATAAATGGGTGCTGGTGTAAAGGTATCAATGTAGTTAATGCCCTTCGCCCAGGAACGATAACTGGGGACAGCAACCCACCTAGGGGAGAAAACTCCGCAATAAAACAACTTCTGCCTTTCAGATTGTTTTTGGTTGGCAGGCTTGAACCGGAGTCAACGGCTAGTTGCACGTAACAAGCTGACACGTATTACTTGTGTTGGAAGAAATCCCTTTCAACATTACAATTAGCAACGAAGAAAAAGAACGTTCTTCAAAAACTAAAATCAATCAAATTTGATAACACACACACACACACACCCACACACACCCACACACACACACACACACACACACACACACAAAACACTTGATCTCTAAACAACCCTTTAAAAAGTAAGATAAAAATAGCATTGATTTTAGGACTGGGTCAGAATGAAATGTCAATAGCTGATCAAGTCCCACGTGATCGAAGGTTGATCTCTCGCGTCAACAATTTCAATAAACAAGTCGGGCAGGTCTAGAGGTCCGTAGTTTGACTCACACAATGTTGTTTACACGTGATCAGCCCCTCCCCCTCCCCCCCCCCCATCATTTTGTTTAAATTGTTATCTATATGAATAATAGATAAAGGTTATAAAAAAATTGAACAAGGTATTAGCTGTAAAAACTAAAACTAAACTAAAATAAATAAACCAAAGAAGTTTTAAAACCTTGGGCAACGTCAATTTAAAAACACGAACAGTTAATTAATTAACAGTATCCAATTTTTTTTTTGCTGTATTTGATTACAGGTGCATTTATAGACCAGTAGACTAATCCTATTTTCCTGTATTTTAAAAATTGTTCTCTCTTCTTTGAATACAAAATAAAAATTATAAAATTTCAAAACCAGGTGTGCTTGGCCATTTTAGCAAACAGTTAAATTTGGTACACAGGTGTTTGGTCAATGATTGGGTTAATTTTATTAATATATTTATTTACATTGGTCAATCGTTCATAACAACAAGTTTATTATATATATATATATATATATATATATATATATATATATATATATATATATAATTTATATATATATATAATTTATATATATATATTATTTATATATATATATAATTTATATATATATGCCTGAAATGGGTCAAAATGCCTGAAAGAATCACTTTCTGCCGCTGACGTAAAGAGCAAAACAACAAGACCATTAACGTCAAAATAAAAAGCCCCACAAAATCGACAGAAAGTTGACCTCCAGTTATAACCGACATGATTGAATTTAATCTATTCAAACATTACGCTACCAAGACCATTGCACAGTAACACAGCAAGGTGTATTTAAAGCCTTGCAGTATCCCAAGAGCAAAGCGGACATATGTTAAATAAATCTGCCTGAGATGGATTGTCGAATTTTTGTAAGTACTGGCCAGATTTTTACAACTTTTAATGTCAATTTATGTTGTTTTTTTTCCCAACAGTTTTTGCTATTTAAAAATAATTACATTCGTATATTTATTTTAAAAACTGAAAGCTGTTCACATACTTTTCGCGAATATATTATAAATTAGTGTAAATAATATACTGATATATTTTACATTTGTTTTATAATGATTAAACATGCACATGGGCCTATTATTGAAATATTTTACCATACATTTATACAATTATTTCGGCCAATGCGAGCATTTGTCAAATATCACATACCAATGGCAGGATCCGAAAATTTATTTTAATTGCGGATATATGCCGACCAGTTTGTAAAATGGTCAGGAGCGACTGATCAATAGGGCTTGTAAGTCTCTGCTTTTTTTACTTAAAATTTGAAATCTCGTTAGCCAGGGTCAGGTGAATTCTCAAAGATTATTATCAGTTTGTACGATTTTAAATAACTTAACAATAGCGTAAGTAACTTTTATTTCTTTTTTTTTACCGATTTAATAAACATATTCACAATTGGTTTGAAAAATACTAGCTGGCTAGTATAACAAGAAGCTGGTGACATACTTACAAGCTCTATTGTCGGAATTAGAATATCAGTAACACACACACACACACACATATATATATATATATATATATATATATATATATATATATATATATATATATATATATATATATATATATATATATATAATTTATATATAGTATTTTGTATGGTATTTTGTATGTATGTAGATAATAAAATAATATTTTGGTCTACACCAGGTTGTTCTTGCTGTGTGCGCCACTACGCTGACACTTGGCTGTGTAGAAAACGTGTGTCCCCAGAACAAAAACTCATGCACTGACCTAACTGTTCTCAAAACTGCCGACGTTAGCGAATACGCTCCCTATTTTAATCAGAGGTGAGTACCGACTTCAAATGTACTCTGTATTCGGTCTGTGGCGTGTATACACGTACTAAAATACACAAAGAAACGGATAGAAGACAAATTGCTGAAAGACTCTTGCCCGAATACCGTTTGCTCGAATGGACACTTGCCCGAATGGGACAAATACCCGAAAGCCACTTGCCAAATGCCGTTTTCCCGAATGAACACTTGCCCGAATGGGACAAATACCCGAAAGCCACTTGCCAAATGCCGTTTTCCCGAATGAACACTTGCCCGAATGGGAAAAATAGGCCTACCCGAAAGCTACTCGCATGAAGGCCGTTTGCCCTAATGGACACTTGCCCGAATGGGACAAGTACCCGAAAGCCACTTGCCCGAAGGCCGTTAGCTCCCCTGGTCATATCCGGTCAGCCAACGGTAGCTACGGTCACTCTCTGCTCATTTTCAGGTTGCTAACCGGGCGCCAGGTTGCTTCCCCACCTTTCGGCTCCAGGTCCGACCCATATGGTCGTAGCATATGTTATATAATATGTTCACTAATGATCCTTAATTTATACGAGCCGACCCGCGGCATATCATACGCCGCTATTTAGTTGTTTTATTTTCTACTTTTCAGTAATTCATAATTTGTGAATTCGACAGTACCAATGCTGCCACTGAAAATATTTGCTTTAAAACACTATCAGTAGGTCGTTAAGGACGATACTACCCCCACCCTCCTTTCCTCCAACCCCTACCCCATCCACCCCCCACTCCCGTGAAAGCAGCCTCCTCTTAGTTACCACCCCTACGTTTAAAATCGTTTCAAACTAAATTATCTGTCCCTAATAGCCGTCACTAAACCCGGCTCTACGAATGTAAACATTTAGCGTGAACCACAGCTCACCAGACCATGTAGGGGTGGGGACGTAGGGAGCGCGCTTACAGCTTGTTTTCTAGCGTCTCCCAGAAGAGAATTATATATATATAGATATTTTTTTAAATATTTTAACAAACTGATTGTTTGACGATTTGTTTCCGAAAATAGTCCGAAGTCAAATGACACTGTATGAGTAGGTCTAAAAACTTGAAAATGAAATGTGTTCACCAATCCAAAATATTTTCATTTCCTCGCCAGCTCCATCTTATGTGACCAATCGGTGTGGTTAAAAGTTGAGTAAGTACATTTTAATTAGTAGTTAATTAGTAGTTAATCAAGTCGCTTAAATGTGTAGATTTCTTGAGCAACCAATATCGTTTTATTGAAGAGAACGAGTTTTGTTTCTTACTTTTACATTTTCAGCGCTTTTAGAAACTTTTTATTATTAAATATGTATATATATATATATATATATATATATATATATATATATATATATATATATATATATATATATATATATATATATATATATATATATGTGTGTGTGTGTGTGTGTGTGTATATAAATATACAGATACATGGTATATGTTCTTATACAAACACAAGAGAGCAAATAAATAAAACATGTGAATATAAAGATGTGTGTATACATGTAATGTGTATATGTTTCTCTCTTTTTCTAATGCCCATTGAAATATCCGTTTTATGTACGATTTCTCAACATTTAACGAGTTTTTGTTGTTGTTTTAAATCTTGACCTCCACAGCCCATGTTGCCCAAGGTCCAGGTACTACGACTGTGGTCAAGCGAGGCTGTCCTGCCTGCCCCTATTCTGGTACAGAAACTACGTCTGCCAAGCGGTCAAGCCCACCAAATTAACCTACGTCAAGTGCACGTATGTGAAAACAGGGCTTGTTGTTTTGTATAGGCCTTTGTATCGGTCTTGGTATCGGCCTTTGTGTCGGCCTTAATCGGCTTTTTGTATCGGCCTTTTATATAGGGCTTTGTATCGGCCTGTTGTAGGGGTTCGTGGGTCGTTATTAATTTACTTTACGTACCTAAAATCAAAGGTCAGTGGGGGTGGGGGCGGAGATCAGACTTGAGTGATGATAAGAGTGAGGGTTTACGATACCAGTCCACATTTTTCTATTGAGCTTAAAAATAAAATCATTTTTTTTTAGAATGTGTTAACTTTCATGATGATTATAGTTAAACCATCCGCAAAGTCCAACAGAAGCCAGGCTAAAGAAATGAAAAAATAAAGTTATTGTAGATCTCTGGTTAGTCAGTCCCGAGGGTTACAATTTCATGGAGACAACATAGAATGAAATTTTTTTTTAAAAGGCAGCACTAATAAAATTTACATTTCATCAGTATTTTAAAAAAATCATCTTTGTTCCGATTAGCGATTTACCTATAACGCTTAGTTTAAGCGATATTTAAATCATTTTTATTTTTTATCATTTAGTTTATTCTTCTTTTAATTAATCACTAGTCATCCGACCATCCTTCTAACCATCCTTCTTACCATTTTTCTAACCATCCTTCTAACCATCCTTCTAACCACCCTTCTAACCATCCTAACCATCCTTCTAACCACCCTTCTAACCACCCTTCTTACCATCCTTCTAACCATCCATCCATCTATCCATCCAACCACCCTTCTAAAGACCCTTCTAAAGACCCTTCTTATCATCCTTCTAACCACCCTTCTAACCATCCTTCTAACCATCCTTCTAACCACCCTTCTAAAAACCATCCTAACCACCATTCTAACCATCATTCTAACCATCCTAACCACCATTCTAACCATCCATCCTAACCACCCTTCTAACCATCCTTCTAACCATCCTAACCATCCTCCTAACCATCATTCCAACCATTGTCCCCCATCTAGATGTGACTCCTGTATCCCCAACTGCACCAACAACGGATGGTGCTACCACAGCGCAGGCAAGTGTACCCAGGCATGTGGGGTCAGCACCACCGTGTATTTCAACTGCCTGGTCTTTGGGAACGGCCGGCCTTATTTTATCTCTATCTCGGAACGTTTTTGTCTCCCGACCAGGTGAGGGGAGAATCCCATATTGTGTGTGTGTGTGTTGGGGGGGGGGATAGTTAAAGGGGATGGGGGTGACAGAGGGATCAATGATTTTGTTGTTGTTTTGAGACTCGAGTCGCAGACTTCAGATTTGTTGGCGTTCGCTTCCAGAGATATTTAAATTTTCGCGCGTCATTTATGTTTCAACACTTTTTCTTTAGTGATGGTGTCGTTTATTCTTGTATGGGCGATGCTTGATTGGTCATTAGTAAAATAAGTAAAGTTCTTTTTTCGAACCTGACGGTCCGTGGGGGAAGTAGAGTGGAGTTGATCTGTTTCTGTGAGCTCGGCTTATGAAGGGATAGTGTGGTCAGCACCAGAAGCGTCGCGAGGCGAGACGGGGGTTGCGGACCGCACCGGGTGACACCGATTAGGGGATGACACCAAGACAATAAAAATGCATAAACTATATAGTTGAAAATTGTTTTTGCCTGTTAATTAATGCTAAATTACAGTGAAAAAGTCTTTGAAATACAAATTGACAAATCCCGACAAGGATGGGGAGGTGACACCATGACGTAAACCTGCTAACTATAGAGAAAACAACGCTACACCCGACTGTATTAATTACCTACTATAGATAAACATTGTTACTGTTAACTGTACACACTATAAAGCTATCAACAAAGGGTGACATCAACTGCACAATTTATAGAAGAAAAGATGTTAAGATGTTTAATAGGCAATATATATATATATATACGAGAAAAATGGCCCGTTGAGGAAGGATACACCGGGCGCTAGGCTGATAGTGCTGTCTCTTTTCTCTAAACTAAACCCCCCCAACCCCCCACCACCACACACACCACCCCCACACACACCACCCCCCACCCACACACACACCACCCCCACCCCACACCCCCCAACCCCCCACAAAACATGTATACCGTCCCATTCAACGAAATATAATTATATACTTTTTCCAGTGTCCGCCCCCTCCCCGAAAATTCTACCCCCGCCCCCGAAAATTTCAAGTACCCCCACCCCTCTCCGGGGAGGAAAAAGTCTAAACTAAAACCACCCCACCCCCCACACACACCACCCCCAGCCCCCCACACACACCACCCCCCCCCCCCCACACCCCCCCCCCAAAAAAAAAAACATGTCTACCGTCCCATTCAACGAAATATAATTTATATACTTTTTCCAGTGTCCGCCCCCTCCCCGAAAATTCTACCCCCGCCACCGAAAATTTCAAGTACCCCCACCCCTCTCCGGGGAGGAAAAAGTCTAAATTAAAACCACCCCACCCCCCCCACCCACACACACCCCACCCCCCCCCCCCCCCCCACCCCCCTAAAAAAACATGTCTACCGTCCCATTCAACGAAATATAATTATATACTTTTTCCAGTGTCCGCCCCCTCCCCGAGGGGGGGGGGGGGGGGCTCAGACGTTCTTACGCGGGGGTGGGGCTTCGCCCCTACCCGAAGAATTGTATGAAAGAAACTCTTCACGCAAACCACTTAGATTAGACCAAATTGCCTTTGTATTGAATGTTTACTCGATAATCAATGACGTCATATAAATGTGTGAACTATCCGGCTTGAGATTATTTTCTACTCTGTGCTAAATGTGTCGACGTCATACTTCGTTTTTCGAATTACTATGCATGTTTTTATTTTCCTTGTGTTTTCTCTAGAGCGTTCTTGTCAGACAGATAGATAGATAGATAGATAGATAGATAGATAGATAGATAGATAGATAGATAGATAGATAGATAGACAGACAGCGAAACTATTATTATTAATATATATATATATATATATATATATATATATATAGCCTATACTTTTTTTAGCTGGTGGGGGGGGGGGGGGTGTTTGACACCATGAGGTTCCGCACCGGGTGACACCCGACTTAGCGGCGCCTCTGGTCAGCAGGATGCTCATCCGCATTGAATTTCCCTAACGTAAGTCAGGTACCCATCAGAGCAGGGTGGGACGTTCTACTGGCTTGAACCCGGATCCTAACTCGAAATTTTGCGGGTTAGCAGCCCGTCAGTGACTGGTTTAGTTAATTAATTAATTGTTTTCCTTAAGTTGATTGGCTGTTGGTCAGTGACAGTGGCGCCGCTCACCGCTTTGGACTTTTGAAGAAACTTGGAGGACAATGAAAGAATGTCTCTAATAGACCGAATCCCAGGATTCGAACACGCAACGTGTCTAACAACACGTTTTTTGCGCACCTCCCTCTCCGAATATTAAAAAAAAATGAAAATCCGAGTTTCATCGAATGTGTTTCCATATAACAGTTTTGTTGCTCGTAAATCCTTTTAATTGACTACCTTTTTCGCCTTGCAATAAAATTGACGTTCAATGTTTGTTTTTAATTAAACTTTTTATCATCTTCAGATGTTTCTGTAAGGTGTAGAACCAGATTGGTCAATGTCTAATTAATGACGTCATTACACTCGGCACAGAAAGATCTTTTCAACTCTCTTGAATAAAAATTTCGTTTCGTTTAAAATGTTTGTTTTTTTAAATATTCGTTCATTGGTTGTCTGAACAATATACAACACAGCCAGCTATTTCTCTAACACCTGCTTCAGCAACATCCAGACGGAAAAACCTGATTAAAATTCCTCTGAAATAATCCCCACTAGAAATAACCCCATGGCATAATTCCTCCAGACTTTACAAAGTTGATTTCACAAAGTTGACCTCATAAAGTTGACTTCACAAAGTTGACTTCACAAAGTTACTTCATAAAGTTGACTTCACAAGTCGACTTCGCAAGTCGACTTCACAAAGTTGACTTCACAAAGTTGACTTCAAATATTGACTTCATAAAGTTGACTTTATAAAGTTGATTTCACAAAGTTTACTTCATAAAGTTGACTTCACAAAGTTGATTTTACAAAGTTGACTACAAAAGTTAACTTCATAAGTTTGACTACAAAAGTTACATCACAAAGTTGACTCCACAAAGTTAACTCCACAACTATGATTTCACAAAGTTGACTTCACAAAGTAGACTTCACAAAGATGACTTCACAAATAAGACTGTGTGAATTATCATCCAGTTACGATGCGGTCTTGTTGCGTCTGAATAATAATTTGTCGAGGCTAAGATTTTAAACATGAATTACGCAATAAATAAATTTTGGTAATTAGGGGACTAATTTGTAGACCTTTGATGTCTCGTTATGCCAAAACGCTCTACCATTCGACCACCTTAGAACAGTGGCATAAAAAAAAAGGTTAGGTCCTCTAGAAAGAACACCAAACATACATTTGATGACAAAAAACGTGGGTCGGGCAGATTTATGATTAAAGCGAAAAGCACACAACACACGAATTTTGGAAATTTGATGGTGAACGTACCCACGTTTTTTGTCATCAAATGTATGAACAGTCATCACAAGAACCTGCACAGCTCGAGGAAGCACAAAATCTACGAGCAGTCATTGGTAGATCCCCTAGTCCACAAGAAAAACGTGGTTTTTTAAAAAGTTTTTTTTAAGTATTTTATTCTCAATACTAATCACCGGTTCGTTATCCTGAGACTTAGGACCTAAGTAATACAGTTTGTTAACTCAAAATTCTTATCCCAGCAGTGAGATGGGAGACAATCAATGCATCCAACTTTGAAAGACATTTGATTAACTAACTTAGCGACACCGCGGTAACTGACACATGTGTCCCGGGCGACTGAACGAAAATCTTTAGGGACTTAAGCACTAACCCAGCCATCAATGGCAACTTAGGTTTACATGTGTCAGGTGCCAACACGTCGATAAACATCATCAGCGTGTTGTTATCTCGAGACAACCCAGCTCAAAAAGTTCATATCATGTAAGGGTTTTTTGTAGCTTTATGTTTAGGTAAAGTTGGACGCCATGTTTAGTCATATTGGGGTAAGTTTATAATTTTCAGTTCATTAAATTTTACTCAAATATTTAACACGAGCCGACCCGCGGCGTATCATATGCCACTATTTAGTTGTTTTATTTTCTACTTTTCAGTAATTCATAATTTGTGAATTCGACAGTACCAACGCTGCCACTGAAAATATTTGCTTTAAAACACTATCAGTAGCTCGTTAAGGACGATACCCCCCCCCTCCTTTTCCCAACCCCTACCCCACACCCCCCCCCCGTGAAAGTAAACTCCTTTTAGTTACCTCCCCTAAGTTTAAACTCATTTCAAACTAAATTATCTGCCCCTAATAGCAGTCACTAAACCCGGCTCTACGATTGTAAACATTTAGCGTGAACCACAGCTCACCAGACCATGTAAGGGTGGGGGTTGTAGGGAGCGCGCTTACAGCTTGGTGTTTTCTATCGTCTCCAAGAAGAGAATTATATATACATAGATTGTGTTTTTGTACTTCAACGAACAGAAACAATTTGGGTTAGTTAATTATTAGCAATTGATAAAGTTCTACTAAAAAATTATACACCATGTGAGACTTTATGTACCTCGATGTTAAGGCAAAGTTTGACGCCATGTTTAATCAAACTTAGGTAAGTTTATCATTTTCAATACATTAAATTCAAATATATTGTTTGTGTTTTTGTACTTCAGGTCAGGGAAACGGTTTGTGTAAGTTAATCATTTTCAATGGATTAAAATTCTTTTCAAATATTAATCGTTTATCTCTTACGAGCTGACCCGCACCGTAAGCATACGCCGCTATTTAGTTATTTTGTTTTGGGTGCATTAATCATTTTCAATGGGCTAAAGTCTTCTCAAATATTGCATATTGTGCGTTTTTTTTCTATGTGTATTTAAAAAAAAAAACGTCCATGCCCATACCACGTTTAATCCATTATAAGTTAGTCATTTTCAATTAATTGAATTTGTCAAAATTTTTCCATGCGTTCATGCAGTCACTGCATGCCGCCATGTTTAAGCAAATTACAGTCAGTGATGCACTCCTTTAATCGACTTAGTGTACTAGATATTAAAATAAATTTAACACAGATTTTAAACAGGCTCTACTTTACATGATTACAGAGGCGTAGCGGCGTAGTTACTCATTCATTGCTAACCCGTAAGTCTCGAGTTCGAATCCGGGTTCAAGTCAGTAGACCGTCCCTGAGTCCACCCAACTCTGATGGGTACATAACTCACGTTAGGGAAAGTAAAGGCGGCTGGGCATAGTGCTGACCACACAATCTCTTCATATGCCGAGGTCACAGAAACAGGTGAACTCTACTTCACTTGCCCCATAGACCGTCAGGTTTGAAAGGCAAACTTTTATCCCTTGACAGTTGTAATTATTTCACAAAATCGAAAACAGCTAAGTTAGTCAGGAAAGCAAAGCAATAGGATATTTTTTTTTACTTCGACTATGTATCATTTAGTAATGCTACTCAGAATGAGCTTTTTCATAATTAATTGTTTTACCACGTTTGGCGCCCCCTTAGGGTAGGCGCCAGGGGCACCGCCCTCCCCTGGCTACCCTTCTGCGTGATTAAGATTATAATTCACCTCATGTATATATATATATATACGCATAATACCTTTATACTTACACACATATATAAATACCTGCGCATATATGTACGCACACACACACACACATTTATATATATAATATATATATATATATATATATATATATATATATATATATATATATATATATATATATATATATATATATATATAATATATATATATATATATATATATATATATATATATATATATATATATATATATATATATATATATATATAAAATATATATATATATATAATATATATATATATATATATATATATATATATATATATATATATATATATATATATATATATATATATATATATATAAATATATATATACCATTATATCTCAGGTTTTGATGCTGGGCCTCTTGGTGTTCCCTATGTACTGTAACACTAAAACACCGTGTAAGAGAAAGGAGACATGCCAAAACCCTGAAGAACCCTACACTGATGACGCTTATACCTTCTCCTTCTCCACCTATTTCCCTGATGAGTAAGGGGTTCTTTAATTAGCTAATTACTAGAATAACCTTTTTTATATCTACTGTGAAAAGTACAGCTAAATTTTTGTGTTAAATGAATAGGTTATTGATGATTGTACGAAACTTGAAGAAAACCAAAATATTTCAGTCTCTTTTATAATGGACCATACAAGTTTGAACTTTGTTTAGAGCATGCCAATAATTGCAGCGTTTGAACATTTTGTAAAAGTTAACAATTTCAAGCGTTTACTAAGAACAAACAATTTCATTGTACATTTTACACTCCCCAGCCCTAACATTACCTACTGTCCTGTCAACCCGACCATAAACTACTCGTAAGTATGTACTCACGTTAACACATGTCTGACATTAGTTGATGTTTCAACGCTGAACCTATGCTTTGTCACTGTTTTTACTCTTTCGCATAAAATAAATAAAATATTAAATAAACGCACATAGCTAATCTATCTATATACTACTAAAAGTCAAGTTTGTTTACATGTTTGAATATTTATTTGTTTTTTTGTTTGTTTGTTTGTTTGCCTGATCAAGTATCCTGATATGTTCGGCTCTATCTGGAGAGCTGTAAAATAGTATGTAGGTAGAGAATAATTTTTTAATGCAGACAGACTGTTAATCACAAATTTATTTAAAGACGTTAATTAATTTATTGATTTATTCATAGTTAAATTAACCGTATTTTTTTAAAAATGTTAATACTTTGAATAAACTTTGTGGGGATAGTGACGTCCCTTGATGTGTTTACATTTTTGGTACAATAAAAATGGCGGACCCCATCATAGACTTTGTGGCCCATTCAAAAGTTTCACGCGTTACAAAGCTAATTTTCTGCCGGCTATAACTTAAACAATACGTCCGTTTGCTGTATTTATTACGTTCCAACACTTATATCAATTTTCAACTGTCTTTTTCATTTAGTTTTACGATAAATTTCTCTAGATCTAAAGATCAGCTATCGAAGGAAATTTATGAATCTAGCCTAGATCTAGATCTAGCCTAGATGTAGGTCACTAGATTCAATGTAAATTCTACATCTAGAATCTATTTCAGGCCTTAATTATTTTATATAAATCTTTGTTTGGCTTATTTAAGATAAAATTTAATTTGAAAGTTAGTACTACTAGACTTATTTTTAGATCTAGATCTAGAATCTATACGCGTAAATCAAGTTGCATAAGGAGACACATAGTATAGTATAAAAATTCACTTGTGACGTCACGAGTAAATAGCTAAAATGGTAGCGTAGTCAGCTCTCATGCAGGAGGCACGGGTTCTAGACCAATATGTCAATGAATTTTTTTTTTTCAATTTTTTTTTTTAGATGTGAATGATAACGTTGCCTATCTGAACTTGGCAAGATACAGGGCAGGTGAAGTAGAGTTCATCTGTTTCTTTGTCCTAAGCATATGAAAGGATAGTGTGGTCAGATACATGCTCGGCTGGAATTGTTTTTTAAACGATAAAAACATGTTGTCTGAGACTTGGCAGGACACTGGGCAGGTGAAGTAGAGTTGAGTAGGTCACCTGTGACGTCAGTTTATAAAGGGATAGTCCGAAATCGGTGTTTTCGGTGTTTTTAAAAGATAAAAAACATATATTTGAATGTGGGGTCTGTTTTTTGTGACGATAAGTGACACTGCAGTAGCGTACCGAGGAGGGGGGGGGGGGGGGCGGTAGGGGAGGGGAGGTGGGGAGTGGAGGCGGGGGGGGGGGGGGAAGGGGAGGCGGGGGGTGGGGAGGTGGAGGGGGAAGGGGGGGGGACATATGTTGGGGCGCCAAAATGGTTTGGAAAAATAAATTGATAGGTTGAGGGGGGTTCAAATCGAAAGTTTGAGTGGGGGGGGGGGGGTGCACATCAAAAGTTTGAGGGGGGGGGGGGGTTCAAATCGAAAACTTTGTCCCCGGGCGCCGGAAAGGGTCGCTATGCCTCTGAGTGACAGACGTGATGTTTTTTGATGGATGACCCCCGAAACCCACAGTTATCCAACGGATGACGGGTATTCTAGTATACTACTAAAAGTCAAGTTTGTTTACATGTTTGAATATTTATTTTTTTGTTTGTTTGTTTGCCTGATCGACTATTGTGATATGTTCGACTCTATCTGGAAAGCTGTAAAATAGTATGTAGGTAGAGAATAATTTTTTAATGCAGACAGACTGTTAATCACACATTTATTTAAAGACGTTAGTTAATTTATTGATTTATTCATAGTTAAATTAACCGTATTTTTAAAAAAATGTTAATACTTTGAATAAACTTTGTGGGGATAGTGACGTCCCTTGATGTGTTTACTTTTTGGTTCAATAAAAATGGCGGACTCCATCATAGACTTTGTGGCCCATTCAGAAGTTTAACGCGTTACAAAGCTAATTTCCTGCCGGCTATAACTTAAACAATACGTCCGTTTGCTGTATTTATTACGTTCCAACACTTATATCAATTTTAAACTGTCTTTTTTCATTTAGTTTTACAATAAATTTCTCTAGATCTAAAGATCAGCTGTCGAAGGAAAGTTATTTATAGATCTAGCTAGATCTAGATCTAGAATCTAGGTCAAATCAAATCTAATTTTCTGTCGGTCATAACTTTAACAATACGTCCGTTTGCTGTATTTATTACGTTCCAACATTTATATCAATTTTCAACTGTCTTTTTTCATTTAGTTTTACAATAAATTTCTCTAGATCTACAATCTGTCCAAGAAAGTTATTTATTTATAGATCTAGATCTAGAATCTAGAATCTAAATCTAGGTCAAATCAAAAATTTATTAGTTATAGATCTTAATACAAACCAAAAAAGAAACGAGACTTAAGCAAACCAGTCGTAGATCTAGAATATAGATAATTCTATCTAGATTTAGATAATAATGAGTTTCTATATACTAAAATATTTTAGACCTTTATTATTTTGTATAAATCTTTGTTTCGACTATGCAAATTTTGAAGTGCTGGCTCCAGGGCGTATTTGCGCAGCTTAAGATTCATACGCTGCTTCTATACCGGAATTTTGCTAAATTATAAACGTAAATTCTAAATATAGCTCAGTCGTAGATCTAAAATATAGATAATTCTATCTAGATTTAGATAATAGTGATTTTCTATATACTAAACTATTTTAGACCTTTATTATTTTATATAAATCTTTGTTTGGAATATGGTAATTTTGAAATGCTCGCTCCGGGCCTATCAGCGTAGCTAATGATTAGATCTAGATCTAGCAAGAAAAACTAAACTTAAGACCTAAGCAAGCGAGTCGTAGAATATAGATCTAGATAGAATTATCTAGATCTAGCTAATTTCAGAACTTCTTTATTTTATATAAATCTTTGTTTGGCTAATTTAAGATTAAATTGAATTTGAAAGTTACTACTACTAGCCTAATATCTAGATCTATGCGCGGAGACTCAAAAGTATAGTATAAAAATTCATTTGTGACGTCACGAGTAAATAGCTAAGTTGGTAGCGTAGCCCGCTCTCATGTGGGTGGCACAGGTTCTAGACCAATATGTCAATGATATTTTTTTTCAATTTTTTTTTTAGATGTGAATGATAAAGTTGCCTATCTGAACTTGCCAGGATACAGGGCAGGTGAAGTAGAGTTCATCTGTTTCTTTGTCCTAAGCATATGAAAGGATAGTGTGGTCAGAGACATGCTCGGCTGGAATCGTTTTTTAAACGATAGAAACATGTTGTCTGAGACTTGGCGGGACACTGGGCGGGTGAAGTAGAGTTGAGTAGGTCACATGTGACGTCAGTATATGAAGGGATAGTCCGAAATCGGTGTTTTCGGTGTTTTTAAAAGATAAGAAACATATTTTTGAATGTGGGGTCTGTTTTTTGTGACGATAAGTGACACTGCAGTAGCGTAGCGAGGAGGGGGGGGGGGGGCGGGAGGGGAGGGGGGGAAGGGGGGGGGGGGCGGGGGGACATATGTTGGGGTGCCAAAATGGTTTGGAAAAATAAATTGAAAGGTTGAGGGGGGTTCAAATCGAAAGTTTGAGTGGGGGGGGGGGTGCACATCAAAAGTTTGAGGGGGGGGTTGAAAATCGAAATCTTGGGGGGGGGGGGGGTTAAAATCGAAAAGTTTGTCCCCGGGCGCCGGGAAGGCTCGCTATGCCTCTGAGTGACAGACGTGCTGTTTTTTGATGGATGACCCCCGAAACCCACAGTTATCCAACGGATGACGGGTATTCTAGTATATATTAAATGGTTCAATGTCAAATAATACTTTCGCTTAGATTACTAGAAAAATTGGATTATTTTTTAAAAACAGTAGGGTAAAAAAAACAATTGATTAAAATCTTGTATAATTAAAAAGAAATTCAACTCAAGCTATATAAAATGAATGCAAATTCTGCAAACATTATTGCTAGAATATTATAATTAGCATGGATTGATAAATGCACTGTGGTAGGTAAAACACGGACATTTTAAATACTGCCTTTTGTTTATTTTATGCATAAGTTGGGGTATTGTAGTCGTTTACTAAGTCGCCCCAGCCGACGAATTTAGATTTGTTTATTCTTCGATTGTTTATGCGTATATATCCAAGCTTCAGTAGCTTAGATAATACCGAGAGAGCCACCTAATACAAAGGCTAACGTGTATAAATTCTTTGCTAAATTCCCATCAGCCATCAGTTGAATTTGTTTGTCTTATCTTGGAATACTAGCGTATTTTCATTAGCATTTGTTTAGTTATTGTTTTTCGTTTCATTTCACACACACACACACATATATATATATACATATATACATATATATATATATATATATATATATATATATATATATATATATATATATATATATATATATATATATATATGTATATATATATATATATATATATATATATATATATATATATATATATATATATATATATATATATATATATATATATATATATATGGGCCACCAAAAAATTTCAGCCAGGGGCACCGCTCAGCCTTAATCCGCCCCTGCCCCCAGCATATTTAAAATTGTGTGATTGAATTTTGTATTTTGAATTTCCAATTGGATGTCTTATATAATTATTGTTCAAACTTTATTTTTGAAAATAATTACTTGATCTTTCCCCCTTCCCAACGAAATAAACTATCATCTGAAAATAATTACTTGATCTTTCCCCCTACTCAACGAATTAAACCATCATCAACAGGTACTGCTGCCCAAAACAAAATCGCTATGACTGTACGGTGGAGACGTTCGAATGTCTGATCTACTTCCGGCTGAACGACAACGTCTGTAAAATCTTGGAGCCGGAGAAAGTTATGTACAGGAAATGTTCGTAAGTCCGACGTCATAATTTTTACTTTCTCGTATTTACAAATCTCGAAGTTTAACACCTCACTGAGTCGGGAAAACATAATTTTGCAATCTTGTCCGTATGTCTGTGTGTGTGTGTGTGTGTGTGTCTGTCTGTGTGTAAACATGATAACTTGAGTACCGTTACAGCTAGATTGATGAAATTTCATATATAAGTATTTTATCAAAATCGTAGATCCATATCAACTTTTGAGCGATTTCCGATAACCGGAAGTGGTACTTTTTAAATTTGAATTTTTCAAAAGCCTATAACTTGAGTACTATTTTAGATAGATAAATGAAATTTCACATGTAAGTAAAAGATCTCATTCTCTACCTTCCATTAAATTTTGAGTAATTTCCGTTTTTTTTAAAAATGTAATTCACCGTCCTCTCTTCCCCCCCCCCCCTCCACGCAAAATCAACAGATGCGGCAACTGTGTCCCCTATTGCCCCCAAGGTGAGTGGTGTAAGCTGCAGCCGGGCAGGTGCATGCCTGCCTGTGGGAGGAGCACGACGGTCAACGCCCTGTGTCTGGACGCACGCAGCAATCCGGTTAAACAGACGCTGACGCTGTGTCTCCCCACTCAGTGAGTTCTCTACGTGTGGGTGGAGGGAGAGGATTCAAACATCTCACTCCATTCTTTAGGATTAGAGCAAAAGTCATTAAGGATTAAAGCATATATATATATATATATATATATATATATATATATATATATATATATATATGTGTGTGTGTGTGTGTGTGTTTGTGTGTACGTACGTGTGTGCAATGGCACTTAATGGTGTCACCCCGTCAGAGGCGTAGCGACTCTTCCCGGGGACAAACTTGGGGTCGGCGTGGTCGAGTCGGTAAAGCTCATGGTTGCTAAACCGAAAAGTCTCGAGTTCGAACCCTCGGGTAGATGAGGCTCGTTAGCTGGGGACAGCCACTCTTCTAGGAGAGACAACTCCAAAATTAAACAACTGCTGCCTTGTAGTTTGTTCTTGGTTGGACAAAGGCTATGGAAGCAAATCCAAAAAGAAAAGCAGGCTGAAATCGGAGTCAATGGCCTCAATGGCGCATAACCAGTTGACACGTAACGCTTAATTGTGTTGGAGGCGTGGTCGAATCGGCAGAAAGCTCATGGTTGATAAATTTGAAAAAAAAAAGTCTCGAATTCAAACGCACTGGCAGATAATTCTCGATCCCCTTCAACACTAATAATTAAGAACGAAGAAGAAGGGGACAAACTTTCAATTTTCGATTTGCACCCCCCCCCCCTTCAAACTTTCGATTTGCACCCCCCTCTCCTCAAATTTTTCTCTCTATATTTTACTATTTTTTGCCTTGGCGTCACCCTCCTAAATGGTGTCACCCGGGGCGGTCCGCACCCCCGCCCCCCTCGCTACGCCTCTGCGTGTGTGTGTATGTGTGTGCGTGCGTCTGTGTACATGCGGGCTTGCGTTTGTATGTGAGTGTGTGCGTGAGTTTGTGCGTGCGTGCGTGTATGTGCATGTATGTGTGTACGTGCGTGTGTGTTTGTGAGTGTTTATCTGTTCGTGCGTGTGTGTGTGAGTGTTTGTGTGACTATATGCATTTCGAAACGAACATTATAAAACCATCTGAACAAAACAAAAATAAGAAAGCGTTCCCCATGTCCCTCCATCAACAGATGCCACTGTGTACCAAGAGCGTAAGAACCGCTGGGCTGTCGTCTGGACCTCATCTGATGCTGGTGTTAGCTCCACATCACCAGAAAAAGAAATATTAGAGCTTGAAATTTACAAATACATTCGATTTTAAACTTGCTAATTTTGTTTTTATTACTTTTTTTTTAATTTAAAAAATAATTTAGACTTAAAACCATCCGAATAAAATTTACTGGCATTGGAAGGGGGATGTTGCCTAGTATCAGGACTACCCCCCCCCCCCCCCCCCCAAATGGCCCTGCTAAAACTACTAAAATACTAAAATATTAACACAATAAAATACAAAACTACTAAACTACTAAAATGCTATGCTACTTAGCTACTATAATACCAAAATACTAACTACTAAACTTCAAAAATACCAAACTTCTAAAACACTAAAACGCTAAAATATTAAAATTCTAAACTACTAAAATATTAAGCTACTGCGCCGGACTTTTCCCAAATTAATAGCTTGAGAAGCATCAAAAGCATCAATTGGCCTCAACACCATCTCCAATGCTAGACTACTAGGAGAGATGGAAATGAAAGTAGTTTGCGAAATATGTATCACATGAATGGCGCTAAACTGCATGCCTCGAGGAAAAAGAAAGTAGAGAAGCCGAGACACATGATCATCACAAAAGTAAGACCACCCCTCCCCCCCCCCCCCACATGCACACTTAAAACTTCACATCTCAACCTACACCCGCCTCAAAATTACAGTTTATGTTTTCTAAAACATCTATATATCTCCTTTGATAAATTTACTGAGCACGTTCAATCTAGAGCAGGGGTTCCCAGCCCTGTGCCCGCGGGCGCCATGTCGCCCGCTGAACGATTCGTATGTGCCCTCCTCTCACTATTCAACAGAGAAAGAATTTTGTTCATAAACATTATTTTAAAATATGATTTATTTTTATTCATTTGTTACAGTTTTAATTTTTTTTTGACTGCCTAGGTTTATTAAATATGTTTGATACTTGTCCCAACTTGTCTAGCCAGACTGCACTATTTCCGTTTTGTAAATACATTTCTCTGTGGGTTATGCAATTTGAAAAAAATGCCAAATAATTTTATTATTTTGAAACATTTTTGTTTATTATTTATTAATACATTATGACTATAAGAAAATAAATTATGGGAAAATGAAAAGTTATGGAATGGAAGGAGTTTGTCGATTTTAAATAGTCGGTGCCCGCCAGAGCCGGCGTTAGGGGGTGGCGAACGGGGCGGTCGCCATAGGCCCCGCGCTTGAAGGGGCCCCGCGCTTCAGCAATGTCATTGTTATCTGAATTAGTTCGTAAACTTAAAAAAAATGTTGCTGAATTCAATTGGGAAAAACTAACTGGTCGAATGCCGACGTTGTTGATTGTTATAACTGAGACCATGGTGATGTTAGTGAGTTATCACCCACCTGAACTGAGAAAGGCCGTAATTCTATACAAAAAACAGTGTCACACACCTCTCCTTTGTGTAGGGTACGGTCGCCTGGCATTTGACCTGAGCTGACTGGAGATGGCGGTCGAGAATTAGCCCACGACGTAAAGAGATACCCTATTGTATGCGGACCCATGAAGACGTCCTTTTAGTGAGCAGACGGGATGTCTGCAGTAGACAGTTAGTGACCTGATGAACTCTAGTCCTGACTTTCTTGTTGCAGATGTCGTATAATGTCGTATATGTACAGTGTTTCTTCCAGACTTTTTTCTACGGGGGGGGGGGGCACTTGAAATTTTCGGGGAGAGGGGGGCGGTAGACTTTCTTCGGGGGGGGGGGGGGTGGACATTGTTAAAAGTATATATTTTCTATATAAATTTCATTTCGTTTTCGAAGAGATGCCTGGAAGAAACTCTATATGTAGGCCTACTTGTCTTGGTATAACAAAATTAACATTCAGTTGCGTGCAGAGGGGTGGGAGGAGAGCGACGAGGTGGGAGGCCCTTAGGATCTATATCAGGAGGGGGCATTAAACAGAGTGATTTATTATTATTTTTTGGAAGAAAGTTAAAACTGTTGTTATGTTGTGTCACCTTAAGGATTCACCCGTTCAATAATTAAGACAATAATGATTTTGGTTTTAAAATATTATATGAATTCTAAAAAAAATTGAAGTCTATACTGTTTTGATACATCAGGCGAGTTCGCTGTATTGTAAACTTTATTTTCCTAATTATTCGGCACGTGATTAAATTTTCTTAAGTGATTTGGTATGAATTACATAACTGTCAAAAGTGATTTAATATCTTAGCAAAGGGAAAAAAACTACGAACATTGGGTTAATACATGGGAGAGATAAACATCTGTTATTATAGTGGAAAGTTTGGCATTAGCTTATAAACTCCAAAACATTTGTGTTATTATGTGTACATCACATTATATAGGCCTTTATACATATATATATATATATATATATATATATATATATATATATATATATATATATAATGGAAAGGCCCCGCGCGGATGGTTGGCCCTAGGCCCCGCATAATCCTAACGCCGGCTCTGGTGCCCGCCACCCTACCGATATTTTAGAATGTGCTCTAGATTAAAAAAAAAGGTTGGGAACCCCTGATCTAGAGTAACCTCTCTTTGATCAATTTCTGTTACAATTTACAAATAAATATTTAAACGCGACATAACGGCTACTGTTCAGTATCTAACATCACATTAAAGTCAGTGTTTCTTCCAGACTTTTTTCTCCGGGGGGGGGGGGGGCACTTGAAATCTTCGGGGGGGCGGTAAACTTTCTTCGGGGGGGGGGGGGGGGCGGACACTGTTAAACGTATATATTTTCTATATAAATTATATAAATTTCATTTCGTTCGGGGGGGGGCGGTAAAAAATTTTCGGGGGGGTCGAAGAGATGCCTGGAAGAAACTCTGATTAAAGTGCAAAGAGATGTCGAATGTATTTTGTCACTAATTATTGCCAAAGCTTTTTTTTTTAACCTACTTTTAGAGATTAAAATAAGTAGGCCTATTTATTATGTTTATTTAGATATATTTGTTTTTATTTAAAAGGCTAATACTGCAAATATTATTATACTTGTTCTATTTTGCGATCTTGTTTAGAAACTTGTGTGTGACTTTATTTCTAGACTTAAGATTATTTTAGATCAATTTTTCTTAATGGGGCTTCTTAAATTGTCCCTTACGACTGTACGCAAATGGTCAAAGAGAGATAACTCTAAAAATATTGTCCTTGGTTTCCAGGAATTCTAACTTTTGCTCAATCTTTTTCGTTAAGTTTTGGGAGAGAAATAGATTTAGATTCTTGCTCTGTGGTTGATCATGTCATATTCTCCGTCTCTTAATAGTTCTGGTAGTTTACAACATGATACTCGCAAAAATCCATCGCCTACTCCTTCTGGAAAGAAGGTCGGAATTTTGATTGAGTACAATTTTGAGGATGCTGAGGTAGCCTATCGTTCGCTAAGACGCCGCTATAATACTAACTACACCACTACACTGTTACTATACTATACTTAACTACTAGATTTAGATTCTATAGAATACTTCTTATGAAATCTTATGTAATCTAGATAGTAGATTCTCTATACTTTATACTAGATCTAGACTATAAGAATATATCACATAGATCTAGATCTTATCAGCAATAATTATAGTCAACTATAAACTATAGTTTTACTATAGCCTATCTAGTATCTATAATAATAATAGTAGTGCTATAGGCCTACTACTAAATTCTATATACATAATTAGCCTACTAATTAAAAAGGCCTACTTAGGGCCTACTAGTTAGTATTAATTATATTAAGTATTAATTAATAAAACTTATGTGTATTAGGCTACAGCAGCATGATTGATATTATGACATATTACTCAAGGACATTGATCATCAATCATTATCACAATTATGATTACATTGTGGTCTGTCTGTATGTATGTAGTCCAGGGGTCGGCAACCTTTTGAAGCGGAAGAGCCAAAAGTTACAATTTTCAAAATTTCCCTGGTTTTAAAGAGCCACTAACATTTTTTTATTTCAAATATTTTATTTTTTGATTAAGATTATTAGTATTTGTGCAAGGAGCTGGAGAGCCGCAACTTGATATCAAAAGAGCCGCATGCGGCTCGTGAGCCGCAGGTTGCCGACCCCTGATGTAGGCCTATGTAATATTTATAGTCAGCAGTCTAATTAATATTAATTAGGCTAATATCCTATTTATTTATTCTTAGGCCTAATTAATTATTAGGCCTAATTATATTATTATTAGTATCATACTCATTGGATTAAAAGTTAAATATATAAAATATAGGTCTAATAGTAGTAATAGCCCTACTAACTAATCGCATGAATGGGACAAAATGATGATGAATCGGCTTAATCAATCTTCTTATTCTCTATCAATCGTCGCCCGCCCCCTTATCAGTTCTAATGCCTCAATCTGGAGTTTTGTTATTTATCGATATTTATTGAATATTTATTTTTATTAGCCCTGTGTACTAATATTATTAGTAGAATCTACTAATTTTTATTGATTGAGTAGATCTATTCATCTATTCTATTGCTATCTTTATAAAACTATAATGTTGTAAATACAATACTTATTTAATTGTTGTCAATATATAGAATATACAATGTAATCAATGTTTTGTAATAGTTTTGTTAGTTGTTTAGTAATAGATCTAGTAATAATGGGTGTCACTTGGTACAGTGAGGGTGTCATCCAACCTGCTCCAACAATTTTGCATTTTTGGTTTGGTGTCACCCTCGCTAGTTTATTATTTTAAGTGCAGAAAATATTGTCTTGACAGTAAATTCAATGATTTTTCAATTTAGTGTCAGCACCAAATTGGTGTCATCTCGTGCTGACTGCACTCCCCTCCCCTATCTTGTAAAGCTACTGACTAGATCTATATTAATGTTTTTTATTAATGATTTACTAATGAGAGTGTTAATTTAAAAATCTGAGCACACTTTATAATTGTAGCCCAAGTATTTTTTTAATGTTAATTTCGATCAGACAATAGATATAAATAAAATCTGGGTTAATAGATTATCCAGGTCCTCCATATCAGAATCATTGAACCAGCTTGACATTTAAATTTGTTTAAAGACATAATATACAGCTGATTAATGAGAAGCTTAGCCTTTTTATTTAGTCACAGCTCAATGGTTAAATGATTCATGATCTTTTTCACAGGTTATCTACCCCTACTACAGGATGAAAGAGGCGGGGCTTGAGTCTGTTCTGATTGGTCCAGTGGCAGGGAAACAGTACACAGGAAAAAATGGCTACCCTTTAAGCTCTGAGGTGGCTATAGATGGAATCCATGCCAAGGTACCTTTAACATTGGTGCTTTGTATTTCTTGTTCATTAGCAGGACATATTTTTTTCCTAGTATTAACCCCTAACCTGATCATAAACCTAGCAGGAAAAGCCATAATAGAACACTGCGTTCTGCGACCAGTAAGAAATTATTAAATATTTGAGGATGTTTGATAGTTCATCCTTTCTTTAGTTACATCAACTTTTTATATCCCCTAATGCATCAACTTTTGCTATTCCCTAATGCGTCACCTTTTATATTCCCTAATACATCAACTTTTTTTATTCCCTAATATGTCAACTTTTTATATTCCCTAATTCTCATTAATGCTTGAGTAAAACTTAAAAACTCCTTCATTTTCATATTTATTTGGCTACATTGCATAACATTTTCTGTAAAAGTCTAGACTCATTAAATACTACGCGAGCAAATCTACTAGACAATCCCAAAATTGAATTAAATCTGGATTTTTTCAAATACCCGTATTATTTTGGTTATATTTGTATTTATTTAAAAACAGATGTTTTAATTTATTTTAAAATTCCTTACCAAAAAGGTTTTTTCTCCATCTGTCTATTCCATTTACCCCAATTTTTGAAAACATTTACAGACCATCAATAGTGTACACTGTACACAACTGGGGTTAGAGATTATGTTAGTTTTCTGCCCAAATTTTTCTACCAGAAACTTTTTGTTCTGTTTTTAGGAACTGGACGCTCTTGTTATCCCTGGGGGGTGGGCGCCTGATTACTGGAGGAGGGACAAAAGATTTCTTCAGCTGGTGAAAGACATGAATGAGCAAGGTATTTTTATTTTTGATTAATATTTTGAGAGTATTGTTTATGGGTGTTTTATTTTAAGATTACTGGTACTTTGTAAGGAGGTGTGGTCAAGCTGGGTAGCCACAGGGCTGTAAGCAGAGTGTTCCCTAGCTCGATTCTACCCAGCTCTGTTGAGTGCCTGGTTTAAAACATTCCTGAGTCAACCCAGCTCGAATGAGTACCTGGTTTAGAACATTCTTGAGTCTACCCAGATCTAATGAGTACCTGGCTTAGAACATCCCTGAGTTAACCCAGCTCTAATGAGTACCTGACTTAGAACATCCATAAGTCCACCCAGCTCTAATGAGTACCTGGCTTAGAACATTCTTGAGTCTACCCAGCTCTGATGAGTACCTGACTTAGAACATCCTTGAGTCAACCCAGCTCTAATGAGTACCTGGCTTAGAACATCCTTGAGTCAACCCAGCTTTAATGAATACCTGGCTTAGAACATCCTTGAGTCAACCCAGCTTTAATGAGTACCTGACTTAGAACATCCTTGAGTCAACCCAGCTTTAATGAATACCTGGCTTAGAACATCCTTGAGTCAACCCAGCTTTAATGAGTACCTGACTTAGAACATCCTTGAGTCAACTCAGCTTTAATGAGTACCTGGCTTAGAACATCCTTGAGTCAACCCAGCTTTAATGAGTACCTGGCTTAGAACATCCCTCACCCACCTCTGACTCATGTTGAGGAGCACCAAAATGTAGTGACTAGGGTTAGTCACATCATACATTATTTTGATCTAGGCTACAGAAACAGATTAACTCTACTTCATCCATGCTGCTAACCATCAATGTTGAAAAGAGTATCATACATTCTTACTTTACTTTTACTGTGTCTGTTGTTTTTTTATTTCAAGATAAAATTTTCTGTATTATTATAATTTATATCAATTATAATAATCAGACAATATTGACATCACTTTGAATTAGTGTATGTGACTTTGATAACATTGGACTAACATACTTAAATACGGTCCTCTTTAAACACCTGAGATGTTATATAAAGAGTGTAATGATGGATGTAATGTATAAATTTTTTAAAAAATATTTTTTCTCTCTAGGTAAACCAATAGCTGCCATCTGCCATGGTCCTTGGTTGCTGTGCTCTGCTAAAATTCTTAAAGGGAGAAAACTCACTTGCTTCTGTGCCATTAAAGATGATGTAGAAAATGCTGGGTAAGTTCCCTTGCATGGGAAACCTGATTTGAAGTGACTTAAATTTATATCAATCCCCAATAGAAAAAGTAAATACTTCATGTTAAACATCAGGCGGGTTATTTCAACCCACATCACTTTTCAATACCTGGAACTTAATTTTATAATACAACCCACAACCATTGTTATAACTGACAATAGTTTACACAACCACACACACAATTTTACACTAAGTGATCTTTTTTTAAAAAGCTGATAAATTCCATGATTTTGAAATCTGTGCTAAAATATAACAATATTCTAGACATTGAATCTTTTAAATACTCATAGAAATCTTTTACTTAGCTATCCATAAAGTAAAATTTTTAATTGTTATTTAATGTTCATGAGAATTTAAAAAATTGTGTCTTTCAGTGGAATTTTTGAAGACAAGTCTGTCGTAGTGGACCATAACCTCATCACATCCAGGACTCCCAAAGACTTGCCAGAATTTTGTAAAGCCATCCTGGCCAAAATAGGCTCTTAACCTATCTGCCAATATTAGTTTCTGTTGTTTTTTTTTTCAGGACTTCAAAAATTAAAAAATGTTAACATAATTTATTTTTTTATTGTAAGAGTTTGTTAACGAAAGTTAAGTTATAAGAAAATATAGTTGCACTCAGTTTAGACAGAAATGGCAATCCTTAATGAATATTCATTAATACAAACTCTACATTGAAAATTTGAAATAACTTCCGAAAGTAATATGTTGTGATTAAATTGTTATTCTGTAAAATTTAACATTACGTTGTTAATTTATTTTTAAACTTAAATTAAGGTAATAAATAAAGTTGACGGATGATGTACTCCTTATATTTGTGGGAGGTTATAGAATAGTTGCAGTAGAGGTATAAAACAGGGGTTTTTTTTTATCAGTATTAGTAACAAGCCATTCCAATAATAGAAATATTTTCATTTATTATTTTACTTATAAATATGTAAGATACACATATTTTCATTAAAACGCCTTGATATTTTTCAAATGTTTTGTTATGTTTATTATTCTACTTAGTGACAGAGTTTAAAAACCTGCCTAATTTGATATATTTGTTGTGGGGATATTTGTTTGAGACATTGGTGAAAGGGGAGGTAAAAACAGGTGTGGATTTGTTTATTGATGACCTCGACTCTACAACGAGGCTAACCCACAGACAGAATGTGTAATTTTTCAATGAAGTTTATTTTATGTCTGTAATTTAAAATAAAAAACACTTATAATTTGATTTTCATTAACAATAAAACTTTATTGTCTAACTTCCTTGAAACTTACACAATAAACAATTTCCGAATTAATCAATAGATGCGACTCATGAGTCATACTGCTAATAATTTCATCTTTGCTGAAATATTAAAAACAAATTGGAAGCACTTGCGTTCCTAATCAACACATACAGTTTATTTTCTCAATGTTCGGGCTGACTTGAAAAATTCCAGACTTTTTAATTTCCGACACGTGAGGTTTGATCTCAACATTGAATGATTTCCTGCGGACGCCCAACCTAATTTTCTCCAATAACCTTTGAACTATGGCGCACGTGGAGAGCTCGTCCTCCGTGGAACATTCCATGTAGGGGATGTCCAAGTTGTCGGCTAGCCTGAAACCCCTCTCGGATGAGATCATCCTTTGACCCGTGTGTGACGTCGTTCCCACCAAGATGGCGCAGACGTAATCGTTTTGTGCGTTCTTTACAAGCTCCTGGTACCTTGGAATGGAATGGGACTGGTAAGTAGGTCACCAACCAGTTCTACGGCTCAATAAAACCTGCATGAGCCATAGAACTGGTCGGTGACCTACTTACCAGCCCTATTTATTCAAGGATATTTATACATCAAATTTCAAGCATAAAACACCACATCACTCTAGGTCCTATTTCAACAGTTGACGGCGGATTAAATCTTGAAGGCGTTTTCAACACCCCCCACCTACCCCCCCCCCCCCCCCCCCAGCACGTTATTGCCACTTCTGGATTTAATAATTTAAAAAAAAAGATGTTTTATTGGACGTTAATAAATGACGCTAGAAAATTGTAATGTAATCAAATATAAATCCCCACCCCTTATCATCGCGTTCGTTACAAATAGCCAAAAACAACACGCCATTTTATTGAATTTAAATATTTCCACAGCCCCGTATTAATTTTATTCTAACAACAGCCCACCCCTTCCCTACGTTTGCACCCTAACCCCCGCGGTTCAGTGTTTCTTTCTGACTTGTTTCCTCCGGGGGGGGGGGGGGTGAAACTTTCGGGGAGGTGGACTAAATTTTCAAAGGGGGAGGGGGGGGGGGTGGACACTGGTTAAAGTATATGTTTTCTATATAAATTCCATTTCGTTCGAGGGAGCGGTAGACTTTCTTCGTGGATGGGGGGGGGGGGGGTGGAGCCAGTAAGAAACTCTGCCCCCCCCTATTCAGAAGACGTTTCTGAAAGAAACTGCTGGGGGGGGGGGGGGTGATGCATGAACTCACCAGCCGATGATGCTGTCAAAAGTTGTCTCCCGTCTGACGTCAAACATGAGCAGACAACCGTGCACGCCCCGGTAGTACGATGACGTCAGACTGCGGTACTTCTCCTGCCCTGGGGGGACGTATGCAAATGTATGCAAATTTTAAACATCGCGCGTGGAACACTACTACGTTTCCATGGTTACACGATGTGACACTTTCAAGATACTAACACGAGCAATGTTTTAATGCTAGACCTAGGACAAGAGAAAAGAGTAGCTATTCCTTAAGTAACAAGCCGCTAGGCCTGTGGATTCCCGCCTAATTCGCTTCCCAGTCTCTTGTTCATTGCACTATCTAGATTGGATAGGCCTTAAGGGACACTTTTCTGAGGAGGGGGGTATCGAACTCGTAACGTTCGGGTTAGTAAGCGCTCTATCGCTAGACCACGCTATTTATCAGCACATCGCTAGAGCTTACACCAAACTAAGCTCTATATCCAGGATCGTGATCAAAGACCGACCCTGATACACATGACCATCCTAGCTCCGCTTCCCTCCATCTTTTCCATGATCCTGACCAGGACTCGTTCACACGACCAACCTACCCCCCCCCCCCCCTCCGTGTCTATGATTTTGACCTAGAATACCATAAGACCAACCCCCCCCCATGAACTTGACCCAGTGACCAACCTACCCCTGTGTCCATGACCCTGACCCAGATGACCCACACGACCAACCTACCCCCCGTGTCCATAATCCTGACCCAGACGACCAACCTACCCCCCGTGTCCATAATCCTGACCCAGACGACCAACCTACCCCCCGTGTCCATAATCCTGACCCAGACGACACACACGACCAACCTACCCCCTTGTGCATGACCCTGACCCACACGACCAACCTACCCCCCGTGTCCATGACCCTGACCCACACGACCAACCTACCCCTGTGTCCATGACCCTGACCCAGATGACACACACGACCAACCTACCCCCCGTGTCCATGACCCTGACCCTTATGACACACACGACCAACCTACCCCTGTGTCCATGACCCTGACCCACATGACCCACACGACCAACCTACCCCTGTGTCCATGACCCTGACCCAGATGACACACACGACCAACCTACCCCCCCGTGTCTATGACCCTGACCCAGATGACAAACCTACCCCCCGTGTCCATAATCCTGACCCAGACGACCAACCTACCCCCCCCCCGTGTCCATGACCCTGACCCAGATGACACACACGACCAACCTACCCCTGTGTCCATGACCCTGACCCAGATGACCCACACGACCAACCTACCCCCTGTGTCCATGACCCTGACCCAGATGACCCACACGACCAACCTACCCCCCGTGTCCATGACCCTGACCCAGATGACCCACACGACCAACCTACCCCCCGTGTCCATGACCCTGACCCAGATGACCCACACGACCAACCTACTCCCTGTGTCCATGACCCTGACCCAGATGACCCACACGACCAACCTACCCCCCGTGTCCATGACCCTGACCCAGATGACCCACACGACCAACCTACCCCCCGTGTCCATGACCCTGACCCAGATGACCCACACGACCAACCTACCCCCCGTGTCCATGACCCTGACCCAGATGACCCACACGACCAACCTACCCCCCGTGTCCATGACCCTGACCAGAGCACGCTCCTCGTCCCTGACGCAGATGACCACAGCGACCTCCCCGGGCACGTACTCCTTACAGCAGACACCGACAACATCTTCCCTGGAGCTGAGGAGTGTACACAGTACATTAGAAGATCGTTAGGTTTGAAAAGAGAACTTTATTTTTTTTTATGATACCAAGTAATCAGTGTTTCTTTTAGGCACCATCTTCTTTACCCTGTGTTATTACCCGGAAATAGTAGCTTGTCTTCAAGATCATCGATACATACACAAAGTAACACATAATGGATTAATGGGGCTGGTAAGTAGGTCACCCACCAGTTCTATGGCTCATGCAGGTTTTATTGAGCCGTAGAACTGGTTGGTGACCTACTTACCAGCCCTATTGCAGATAAGGAAACATGCTGGATACAAGCAGTCGTGGGGTTATTTTAGAAGCAATATTTTTAAAACTGCGGTTCTTTATTAAAAATAAACACAACCAAACGTTTACTGCACAGGATTTCACAGGAACGAATAATTAAAAGTAGGCCATACGGGTTGGTAACGGAAGATTATCGCAATAGGGCTGGTAAGTAGGTCACCAACCAGTTCTATGGCTCATGCAGGTTTTATTGAGCCGTAGAACTGTTTGGTGACCTACTTACCAGCCCTATAGAGATACCTGATCACGAATTATGCTTTAGTAAAATACCCTTTCGAACCTGACGGTTCATGGGGGCAAGTAGAATTCACCTGTTTCTGTGACATTGCAAATCCGCCTTTACTTTCCTGACCGTAGGTTGGGTACCCATCAGAGCAGGGTGGACTCAGGGACGTTCTGCGTTCTTCCTTACTTTAATCCGCATTTGAAATCGAGACTTTAACAATCGTATGCTATACTGTTCGACCACGCCGTCCCAGTCATGTTTTAAGCATAGACTTAACAACTTTTTAGAAAAGAGAAAATTTTAACCTAACCTTAATATTCTACTGTATAATCTATGGTACATCGCACACGCCCTTCTAATGTCTAGACACCCACTTACCTTGCTAAAGTTCTTAGAAAAGATGTTTTTCCAACGCTGTAGTCTCCCAACAGTATCACCCTCGCCTTCAAATCGTACGACTCCTTGCAAGAAAGTTCCAGAATTCTCGCTTTGACGTCATCGCAGATGGAACTCTCAGGCGCATCGTGCTGCACGGTGCGGCGGTCTGGTGTTAACACGTCGTCGAGTGACGTCTGCGATGCTTCGTCACGTGATGTTACGACATGTTTGCTCGTCGTCTGCTGGTTCAAGCGATCGGACAGAAGGTAGCGAGGCTGGTCCCCTGCATGCTGTGTTAACCCGCAATGATTGAAAAATCCTGTAGTTGTCGTTGTGTTATCTAAATCAGAATCGTGGACGAATTCCGTAGCTGTTTTAATGTTGTCTACATCATTTTCTGTCGTGTTTTTCGTTTCTTTTTTACAGTGTTGTATTTTTGACGTGTTTTCCGGTAAGTTTATATTTTGGTGATCGTTTCGGTTGTTAGAGTTGTTCCCGCCTAAGTCTACTTTATAGTCGCCTGGCGACAGGGGGAGCATCCTACAATACTAACCAGACTGTGCCATATTAGTTGACTATCAAAATTGAAATAAAACTGAAATAAAACAACAAGAAACAGAGTGAAGGCTTGTTGTGATTAGCCACCCCCTTACAAGTATAGTTCCCGCGCTGTCAGAAATTTTAGGTTCACCCCATAAGAAATATATCTGAATCTAATCTTTTTTCTTTTTTTTCGATACATACTTTTATTTTCAATTCTGAAACACATACAATAACAACACTGTTTGATATTGTATCTTTGTTTTTTGTTTTTAGATAAGATAATATATTAAATAATATTAGCTCCCTTTTCATTTTTATTTTGGTTGACAAAATTGATATTTTTTTTCATCAACTTACATCAATATTTACATTAAGGTATAAAGAAAGTTTATTTGAGTTTATCGTACCGAAGTAAGAGTATTAAAATAACATCTACAGCTATTTAAAACAGTTTTTCCATTAGTTTTAAACAATCAAGGGAGGCAACAATAGACTAGAAAGCTTAAAAATGCAAAATATAAAAACAATTTAATAATTGAATAAAATATAGATATTTTTTCTAGAATTTATTGTGTAAAATATAATTATTAACAACATATTGATTCAATCTATGTGTTTGTTTTACTAATAGAACTGTTATTAAATCTAGTTTAATCAGGAAAACAGTGGTTAATTTAAATACATCATTAATAGAGTAAATAAAACTAATAAAACTTACTTTCAACCATTGCTAGTTTCAAATCGGACTTAGACTATTTATACTTTTATCAACTCACACACAACTATGTCGGAAAAATACACCAAACGGCTATTCCTGCCTAAGTTTGGCATGGCAGGACAAAAACTCTAAAGATTTTCATAGAACAGGGTTTTTCTTTAGCAACTCTCACAGCTGACGAACTAAAAAGAGAGCTATGTATGTTATGTAGCCTATCACCAGCTGAATATGAAGGTCTGTATAACTATGGGACACTGCGTAAATGGTATGTCACCATTAGATCAAAGGAACTATATGAGAAAATGCACCTAAAAGAATTTCACAGAGATTTGCCACCTGGGGTAACATCCAGATACAGAGTGCAGAGAATATCAATAACCCACGCCGATAAATCTGGGCAAAGGGGCATGTTGAAATGGCTGCCTTCCAAGACAAGCGACGATGATATAATGGCGATTCTGAAATCTATAAGCAGTCAGGACTCAACCCCAACATTTAAGAGACTAGACCAATCAAATGTGGTCCAATTCACCATCTCTCTGGAAAAAGAAGATGTGGAGAGTGTCCCACACTATATTATACTTACAAACGAGGCCAACAAGGAGAGTAGAGTCCTTATAATCCTCAATGGGAGGAGGGTGCAATGTTGCCACTGCAACACAGACAGACACCTGCCTAAAATGTGTGAGCATTTGAGGACTCGCGCTCTTGACGGCGTCCAGCTAGTAGATGGACAGTATAGGGCAATTGAGCCTTGGGATTCAAATGATAAAGAAGAAGTTAGGGAGCATCTAAGTAACAATAAAAATTTCTTAAAGCATTGGGACAGTTATGATGTTGACGGAGAAAGACAAAATGAAATGCTTAGAGAAGCAAGGCATAGAGAGGTAGAAGATGCCTTTGGAGTAGATGGCCTAACTGAAGCACATCATACTACTGCAGCATCACAGCAAGTTAACGAAAGCGTAACAGAAACCACCATAGAGGCCGAAGCCATGGAGACAATAGCGACCAGAAATTCCATAGTAACAGGGTCTCAAAAAGATGGGAGTCAAGAAAATTTGGTGGCTGTCGACGAAACAATAAATGATATTCTTCAAGATAACACTATTTCAGAAAACATAACGAAACCGCTAAAGGAAATTAAAAGCTCACAAAGTATATCAGCAACAAAGGTATCATGTCAACTGTCATATAGTCAAGCAATCAGTTCAAGTAAAAATCAATTACCTACAGTAAAGCCACCTCAAAGGGTCGTGACCAGGGCCCAACGGGATAGCAAACCAACGGCTGGAAAGTTTGGCGTTAAAAGACCACCACCATCCAGCCCTCCAGAAACAAATGTTCGAAAGAAAACCCCAAATAATTCATGCTAACTCTGGCAACATTGTATATCAGGGGGGGGGGGCTAGGGACAAAACACATTATATAAACAACATAATAAATAAACACAATATTGACATCCTACTTTTACAGGAAACTAACATTGGAACGACAGTAGAAGCTAATAAACTAGATGCATAATTAATATCGACAGTCTCAAGCTAAACATCACTCGATCAGCCCTCAAGTAAATTAACATTAGAACAGTCTTCTGTTTCCCAGGTTTTTAAAAGTGCACAACCTGAATGGTAGAAAGAGATACACACTTCACACCCCCTCCCCCACACACACACTTCCCTCTACTCAACCGGAATGGCGGATTTTTCTAGGTAGCGTGCCCTCATTGCCAAGGGTCAATTTTATGTCATGGAAAGTTTTGGAATGATAGATCAGTATGTGTATTACAGAGACACTTCTCCCACGGTCGTTTCTATTTCTGTCCATGGTTGGATACAATGTGAACTTTTGACTCCTCAGCTAAGGACAGAGCACAGTAAACTAAGCTGTCAAGAGAAACCTAGTTTGCACACCTTATTTTAGTCTAGTTCTTATGCCATTTTATTTTCTCCCTTTGATTATTATATATGCAATTGATGTTCATGTCTTTGATGCTGTGTAAAATCTATCAAATAAATTATTATTACTGATTTAAATGTTTAAAACAATTGGATTAATAAAAAATAAAAAAAATTACACAACCCCACCCCCTCTGTGAATGATTTCCCCTCCACTTCTCACCCCGACTCCTGTCACTTGCATTTGACCTTCACCCCCTTTACTGTTATGCCTTTCAATTTTGTATAATCACATACATGACCAGAGTTTCTTCCAGGCATCTCTTCGGGGGGGCGTTGCCCCCCCGAAAAATTTTTACCGCCCCCCCGAACGAAATGAAATTTATATAATTTATATAGAAAATATATACTTTTAACAGTGTCCGCCCCCCCGAAGAAAGTTTACCGCCCCCCCGAAGATTTCAAGTGCCCCCCCGGAGAAAGAAGTCTGGAAGAAACACTGTACATGACATCTTGTAATATTCATTGTGTACATTTGCAAAACCTTTCGTTTTCATTTGATGTTCGAAATTATGTCAAGAATTTGATGTTGATGTACTTGTTTTAAATTGCAAATAAAAGTATTTAAAAAAAAAATACATATAAAAAAAATGGAGCACCAATAGATTTAAAAGTTATATATTTTTTTGTCTTTTACTGATCATCATATTGAATACAGTTATTTGTAAATTTGTTCTAATTTCCCGTTATAACTGTTCTCTAATTCAGACAATAAAACACTACATTACTAGAAAAAAAATGTTGATAAAGATGTTAGAAAGGGAAGAATGTCTTCTTTGGCGTGTCTCATTGTAATCAACACATCTTTTCCTGTTGCTTAAAATTTTAATTCCATGTAACCCCAAATTATTTTCAGCTCTACTTAAAAGCCCAAACCCCCATCAGCCCACGCCGATGGAAAAAAAATCCCTTGAATCATCATTTAATTACGCATCTGCATTTTAAGGTTGTTTTTTTTTCCTAAATAAAATTGTAATAATTAGACGTTTTGTATTAGATCTATGTATAAGTAAGCCATCTTAAATGAATGAAAGTAGGCTACAAGTAAGAAAGAAATATTACTATTGTAAATCTGTAGCAGTCATCACAAGCCGATGATGAAAACTGTAATACTAAAGCGAACATGCAAGGCAAACTGACGCTGCAAATAACATGTCTGGGGCGGGGGCGGGGGGGGGGGGGGGTGGGGGGGGGGGGGAATTACCTGTCTGAGTTTCGTGCTCCTCTATAAAAAAAAAAGTTTTATATTAGATTCGCAACCTAAAGTAAAACCTGAGCAGATTGTTTTTATTGCTTTGTAAATGTTTTGTATTTTAAATCTAGTGTAGATCTAGTAGTAATGCCAAAGAGATAAAAAAAAAGGTGTATTTTAAAAAGACGTACAAGAAATATATATTGTGCAGTAAATATTTGAGATAGAAAAATTACCGGTCTTCGAAAATTTTTTAGCGCAATTTCCATTCTGGAGAATTGCGTTTATTAACCCGTCATTTCTGGATGGATGAATGGATGGATGGATGGATGAATGTATGAATGTGTGTCCGCAGCTTTAAGTCGTATCTCCTCCTCAACGAAGCAATATCGAGGACTAGTTCCAAAAGCAAATATGTTAAGCAAGTTACGAGGATGAGCATAGGCCATAAAAATTCCGGGTTTCTTTCATGGATTTCCCGGAAAAGCCAAAAAACCTAGGAAAAAAGCAGTTTTTGGCCCATATCTCGGCAACCAGACCACTTAGCGACTTGAAACATGTACCAATCGATTCCTGACATAATTTAGAACAATATTGCCGAAGAAAGTTTTCAAAAATATCCTTTCGTTCGGTCAGAAAATTTTTTTTTTAATTAATTAAAATTTTGACCGAATTAGTAGGCATTTTTTCCAACCACACCACACGCGTCATCACGTTCAATAGCTGCGCCATCGCGTTCCATGGCTGCGCCATCATGTTCAATAGGCGCGCAATGGTTTTTAGTCATGTAACTCTATTGTAAATAAAACATGTAAAATACTGAAAAAAAATTAATAAAAAACGTTTTAATAACTAACCAATGGTTTTACTAACCCTGCTCTTGATTTACGCTACGACAGAGCTATTTTTAGATAACATAAGGAAATTGCGCTAAAATTGTCACTAGACTTTTTAATTACCTTGTTTAAAAATTACAGGTCTGAGTTTCGTGCTTTAAGTCTTTGTCTTAGCTTTGTTTGCTATATTTCTTTTAACTCCATGTAAGAGCATTTTTACTTTTTCGTTTACAGACCTATAGAGGAAGTATTGTAATCATGAAAAAAAAATCACATAAAATTTTGACAGTTTTCATTGTTTTACACCCCAGTACTTTATTATATACGGAGTATATTAATCGGGGAAAAAAATAAGTGCAGATTTATCAAAATCTCAGCGGTCTATGCGTAATCAAGTCGGAAAAACTTTGCTTTGTAATTCTGTCTGTATGTCTGTGTGTGTATGTGTGTCTGTGAACACGATAACTTGAGTACCGTTACAGCTAGGTTGATGAAATTTCATATAAAAGAATAATATCAATTGTGTAGATTCTTATCAACTTTTCAGCAATTTCCGATAACCGGAAGTGGAACTTTTTCTACTTTTAATTTTCAAAAGCCTATAACTTGAGTACTGTTTCAGATAGATAAATGAAATTTCACATGAGTAAAAGATCTAATTCTCTGCCTTCTGTCAAAGTTTGAATAATTTCCGTTGACCGGAAGTAGTAATTTACGCTATTTTCGATTTTTCAGAAAACGAATGTGAATTTATAAAGTACTAATAATATTCCGCACTATTATACACAGATTGTTGGGCGTTCACTTGGTGCACCGTTCCTTTTTTTTAAATTTATAACTTCTGAGTCTTGAAATTTTTAAAAAATCTTTTGATAACATAGTTATTCAGCTGATTTATCAATAATTTTTCAAAATCTATATATGGGAAGTAACTGACTTAAGTTATTAATTTAAGTTCAACAATTATAATGATACATCAACATTGCATTGGGTCTAAACTTATTAGGCAAAGATGTAAGCATTATTATATAGATCAATTATATATATATATATATATATATATATATATATATATATATATATATATATATATATAAACACACACATTCACACACACATATATATATGTATATATATAGATATATATAGATATATATAGATATATATAGATATATATAGATTATAGATATATATAGATATATTATAGATATATATATAGATATATATATATAGAGAGAGAGAGAGAGAGATATATATAGGCCTATATATGCATTAATGAGTGTGTATGTATGTGTGTGTCAAGATATTTATTTAAAAAGCCGCTGTAAGCTGTAATTTACTTAGCACCGAATTACCTTGAAGAAACTCACCATGAAAGTGAGAAAGTCGAGTGAGTCAATAATCCTACTTTCATAAGTTTTGAATGACCATAACTAAATCCTTAACCCATGAAACCAATATCTAAAGATCTCGAAAAGAGATATTCAAGTTTGTGCTTGATTTTACGCATGCGCAAGAGTATATAATCTCTTCATTAAAATACGTGAGGGGAAATAACCAGTCCTGACCTACGAACATATCAACGCATTACGGAAACAGCCGAGTACGTTTCGATGAAATCACTGGATCTAAAATTAGAACAATCTGGGTAACATCAGCAATACTTCATAACTTAAACTAAAGTTAAATCTAGTGGTAAAGTAGTAGAGTTGGGGTTAGATTTGGGGTTAAGTTATTTTTTTCTGCGAAATTAATTTTTTTAAGGCGACATGTGTGTGGTGTTATGTTCGTACAGATCAACTCTACTTCACCTACTCTGTTGGGCGTCAGTTCCTCATTAGAACATTATGTTTTCTTCTTCGAATTTGAAATATTTTTTTTCGATACGGTAGTGAACTGAAATATAATGCAAACACCTGACAGTCTATAGACCAGGTAAAAGAATATTGTGGCTAAAACAGTACACAGGGATGGCGTGGTCTGGGGGCAGAGCGCTCGACTGCTAACCCGAAAGACGTGAGTTTCTTTCAAGTCTGGACTTGAGCTATGATAGGTGCATAAATCATGGTGGGTAAAGTCAAGGCGCATTAGCGTAGTGCGCAGTACGCCAATCCGTAAAACGTCCCTGAGAACAAGAAACACTAGTTCCACCTGTCCTGTGGAGAATCGTTAGGTTTGAAAAGAGAACTTTACTTAAACGCCCCCCCCCCTCCCCCAAAACACGTCAACCCCCCCCCCCCCCCAACAAAATAGAATGTATATAGAACCCCCCCCCCCCCGCCCCACGGAAAAATCAAGCCCCTTCCCCCACCCCTCAAAAGTTTCAAGTCCCCCCCCCCCCCTACCCAGGAAAAAAAGTCTGAAAGATATGTAACACATACCATGGGTAACCAGTCAGGGGGGATAATTTACACCTTATTTAGTTGCGCCCCCTGTGGGACAGCAACTGTTGATGTTTTTTTTTTATGCTCTTCGGTGAGCGATGTTTCCCCGTGATTCTTATGTCATGTGACCTGTGTTTTCCATGTCAAGTGACTTCTAAGACTCGAGGTAGAGTCAACTGGCATTCAAACTCCAGGCTGCGGGTGACCAAGAGAGTTGCTGACATCGGCATTGAATATCGAGTTGTAAATAGACCTAATGAAGGTATTGTGATTTTATTACATGTAGTTTTATATTATACTAGCGCCGCAAGTTACGGACTAAATATGTGAAGTAAAGTATACGAGCTAACCCGCGCCGTAAGCGGAAAGACATTACCCTCCCCCCCCCGGACATTACCCCCCCCCCCATAGGACATTCCCCCCCCCCCATAGGACATTCCCCCCTAACCCTAACCCTTGCGCTAACCCTAGACCTACACCGGGGGGGGGGGGGGTAATGCCCTACTGGGCGCGGGGGGGGGGGGTATCGACAGGGGGTAATTGACGGGGGGGATTGACGGGGGGGGGGGGAATTGACGGGGTGGGGAATTGACGGGGGGGGGGTAAATACTCCAGAGGTAATGACGGGGGGAAATGGTGGGGGTAATGTCCGGGGGGGGGGGGCAATGCCCTGTTCCCGCCGTAAGCATACGCCGCTATTTAGTTGTTTTATTTTCTACTTTTTAGTAAATCATAATTTGTGAATTCAACACTGCCAATGCTGGGACTGAAAATACGTTGCTTTAAATCAGTAGCCCGTGAAGGACGCTAATCCTCACCCTCCCTTTGGAAGATAGACAAAGGCATTAAGCAGTAAACAAAAGTAATGAAGTTAGATAAAGCGTGTAATAAATTACGTTCCAATACTAAAAACTAACACCAAATATATATTTAGCTCAGAAAATTTCTTTTATCTTATTTGCTTTAATTCATGTTTATTGTACGAGATAGAATACGTACAAAAAGTAGGTTGTGTGGCTCTATCTTTATTATGCGTGTGTTAATTTGTCATTTAAATTTATTATGTAGATAATCTCCTGTAGTCTAGGTGTGGGTTGTGGGTTAATCTTGTCTGATTGGTGTGATTTGATGTCGGAATTTTGATTTGATGAGTAGGGTAGGACGTGGGATGGTGTTGATGTATTGAATGTATGGTGGGGTGTAGAGGTGGAATGGGTCGGTTTATATATCTATGGTGTGGTTGTTGGGAGGGGTCGGTTGATATAGCTATGGTGTATGTTGGGAGGGGTCGGTTCATACAGTTATGGGGGTAGATGGGAGGGGTCGGTTCATACAGCTATAGTGTATGTTGGGAGGGGTCGGTTCATACAGCTATGGTGGGTAGTGGGGAGGGGTCGGTTCATACAGCTATAGTGTATGTTGGGAGGGGTCGGTTCATACAGCTATGGGGGGTAGTGGGGAGGGGTCGGTTCATACAGCTATGGTGGGTAGAGCCTGGTACGTCGGACTCCCAAGTCCCCCACATAATAGCGTGGGGGAGGAGAGGTGCAAGACTGCCGGGAACCAAAAGTCCGCAACCAGATCTTTTTTAAGCGGCGGCCTTAACGGGGCTTCGGAATAATGCCACTGGTCCGACCAAACTCATGTCCCCCCTAGTGGGTGCGGAATGGCCAGTGGCAGATAACAGCAGCTAGAGGGTTTTGATCTGGCGGAATGCCCCCCACGATCAAGCTGGGTACCAGGCGGTGGGACGACGTCCCGCGTCTGGTGGGTGGGGAAGGAAAGCCCGGTGAGAGCCCACGGAAGTAGCGACCGATGTGTGGGGAACTCTTGTGGTCGGAGTTTGCTACACTGAGGCCTGCCTGGCTAATGGAAGTCAACCTTCTGAGCCGGTTTCCGTATAAGGAAGGAAGGAAGCTATGGTGGGTAGTGGGGAGGGGTCGGTTCATACAGATATAGTGTATGTTGGGAGGGGTCGGTTCATACAGCTATGGGGGTAGATGGGAGGGGTCGGTTCATACAGCTATAGTGTATGTTGGGAGGGGTCGGTTCATACAGCTATAGTGTATGTTGGGAGGGGTCGGTTCATACAGTTATGGGGGTAGTTGGGAGGGGTCGGTTCATATAGCTATGGTGTATGTTGGGAGGGGTCGGTTCATACAGTTATGGGGGTAGATGGGAGGGGTCGGTTCATACAGCTATAGTGTATGTTGGGAGGGGTCGGTTCATACAGCTATGGTGTATGTTGGGAGGGGTCGGTTCATACAGCTATGGTGTATGTTGGGAGGGGTCGGTTCATACAGCTATGGTGGGGTTGTATGGAGGGGTCGGTTTATACAGCTATGTAGGGTAGTTGGGAGGGGTCGGTTCATACAGCTATGGTGTATGTTGGGTCGGTTCATACAGCTATGGTGTATGTTGGGAGGGGTCGGTTCATACAGCTATGGTGTATGTTGGGAGGGGTCGGTTCATACAGCTATGGGGGTAGTTGGGAGGGGTCGGTTCATACAGCTATAGTGTATGTTGGGAGGGGTCGGTTCATACAGCTATGTAGGGTAGTTGGGAGGGGTCGGTTCATACAGCTATAGTGTATGTTGGGAGGGGTCGGTTCATACAGCTATGTAGGGTAGTTGGGAGGGGTCGGTTCATACAGCTATGGTGTATGTTGGGAGGGGTCGGTTCATACAGCTATGGGGGTAGTTGGGAGGGGTCGGTTCATACAGCTATAGTGTATGTTGGGAGGGGTCGGTTCATACAGCTATGGTGTATGTTGGGAGGGGTCGGTTCATACAGCTATGGCGGGGTAGTTGGGAGGGGTCGGTTCATACAGCTATGGTGTATGTTGGGAGGGGTCAGTTCATACAGCTATGGTGTATGTTGGGAGGGGTCGGTTCATACAGCTATGGTGTATGTTGGGAGGGGTCGGTTCATACAGCTATGGCGGGGTAGTTGGGAGGGGTCGGTTCATACAGCTATGGTGTCTGTTGGGAGGGGTCAGTTCATACAGCTATGGGGGTAGTTGGGAGGGGTCGGTTCATACAGCTATGGGGGGTTGTATGGAGGGGTCGGTTCATACAGCTATGGTGTATGTTGGGAGGGGTCAGTTCATACAGCTATGGTGTATGTTGGGAGGGGTCGGTTCATACAGCTATGGTGTATGTTGGGAGGGGTCGGTTCATACAGCTATGGCGGGGTAGTTGGGAGGGGTCGGTTCATACAGCTATAGTGTATGTTGGGAGGGGTCGGTTCATACAGCTATGGCGGGGTAGTTGGGAGGGGTCGGTTCATACAGCTATGGCGGGGTAGTTGGGAGGGGTCGGTTCATACAGCTATGGTGTCTGTTGGGAGGGGTCAGTTCATACAGCTATGGGGGTAGTTGGGAGGGGTCGGTTCATACAGCTATGGGGGGGTAGTTGGGAGGGGTCGGTTCATACAGCTATGGTGTCTGTTGGGAGGGGTCAGTTCATACAGCTATGTAGGGTAGTTGGGAGGGGTCGGTTCATACAGCTATGTAGGGTAGTTGGGAGGGGTCAGTTCATACAGCTATGTAGGGTAGTTGGGAGGGGTCGGTTCATACAGCTATGTAGGGTAGTTGGGAGGGGTCAGTTCATACAGCTATGGGGGGTTGTATGGAGGGGTCGGTTCAAACAGCTATGGGGGGTATTTGGGAGGGGTCGGTTCATACAGCTATGTGGGGGTAGTTGGGAGGGGTCGGTTCATACAGCTATGGTGGGGTTGTATGGAGGGGTCAGTTCTTACAGCTATGGTCTATATTAATAGGGGTCGGTTCATGTTGTATTTTAGGAGGGGTCGGTTCATAAAGCTATGGTCTATATTAATAGGGGTCGGTTCATACAACTATGGTGTATGTTAGGAGGGTTCGGTTCATACTGCTGTGGTTGGGTTTCGATATGAGTGGGGTTGGTTACTACAACTATGAAGTGATGTCAAGATAACACTGGTTCATACGTCGATGATAGTGTGCTGTGCTTAGAGGTAGATTGATTCGTCGCTAGTGTAAGGAAATATGTTCAGCGCAATAGCAAGATG